GAAAGGGCCCTTGATGCCTCTGGCCTCCGATTTTCCCGGAGCTGAAGTCTCAGGGGGCTTGCCTGACAGAGTGAGTAGAAATCAGGTCCTTTGCAAGAGCAGTAGCCTCTGAGCCATCTTATCATGTGTTTTTGTTTTGAATGATGAAACTGATATTTGCTCCTTCATGAAATGATTGTTTTAGCTGTCCATTTCATCATTCTGAGAAATATGACAAGAAAAACGGGATTTGTTGCTCACCCGCTGAATTGTTAATTGGCAAAATCCAGGGTGGGAACTGCTTGCTGTGACCCATATTCTCTACAAAATGATGAAAATGTAGCGGTTAGAATAAAGACCATTATCTTTATTTCAGACAGAGCAGCTCTGTTTCTGCTGTTAATGATAGAGTAACAGTGTCTTCTCTATCACTTTGCCAAGCAAACAGAGCTTAATTTACACCACTTGAATGAGGTTCTAAGTTCTCTCAAATAAGATGGCTGTCAGTCACTTCCAGAAGCAGTACTGAAACAGAAACATAGTTTCTTGAATAAAATACTCCATGGAGGTACTGGGGCCTGGACTAGCTATTGCCATTTTCTAGGCCTTTTAGCTTTATATGGAACCATGGTTACAGTGAAAAAGAAATGAATTAGGTACCTGCTCCCCCTTAATCTTTGCTAGAATCCTGCAGAGGTAACATTATCTTTCCTTAGCTGAGAAAAGTCTCAGAAAGGGAAGTAATCCAATTACAATCATGTAGCTTGAAGCCTTGAAAAGCTTTAAAACCCAGTTTAGCTGCAAATAATCACCTTCTTCCTCTTTTTTTTTTTTGTTCAGAATTGTGCACTGGACCTAGGGTCTTGAACATGTTAGGCAAACACTCTACCACCAAGATATCCTCAGCCCTTTCACATTCTAAACAATAATTCTGTTTCTTTAGACAGGGTCTTGCTCTGTATGTCAGGCCATCCTGTAACATAGGTGGGCCTCAAACCAGTGGCAAGCCCCCTGCCTCAGACTCCCAAGTGCTGGAATTGCAGGCGTAAGTCATCATTTCTGACTTTCCTTTTTAACTTTTGAGTTTTTAAGATAGTGTCTCAGCTGGGTATAGTGGTGCACGCCTGTGATCCTAGCACTCTGGGAGGCAGAAGCAGGTGGATCTCTGTGAGGCCAGCCTGGTCTACAAAGGGAGTCCAGGACAGCATAGGCTACACAGAGAGACCCTGTCTTGGGGGGTAGGGGGAGATAGTGTCTCACTAAATTGTCCAAGCTAGACTTGAGCTCATTCTATAGCTCAGATACAACTTGAGTTGGCTCTCCTACTGCCTCAGCCTGGTGAGTGGCCAGAACTACAGATCTATGCCAACCAGCCCAGGGTCTACATTCTTCCAAAAGGAGAAAGCCTTGCAGTGTGCAAGTGTATGCTGTGGCCCACTCCGAGACACAAGATACACCTGAAGCATATCTTGTCACAGTCAGGTAATTTTGATAAAGGCCAAGCATGTTAAAGACAGTGAATTATTACATAAAAGAAATGCTTAAGTTATTTAATCTGCCTTTTTACAGTCACTATTAACTACCAAGCCTACATTTTTCTCTGTACACTTGACATTTATTACTGTCTTTTAAAACTCATTAAAATAATCGGGTACACGCTTAAGTGACTGAAAGGGGTAGAAAGGTTGAAGAGCTTTACATTGGAAATTAAGCGTACAATGTAATTAAGGTTAAAAAGTAGCCGGGGAGAATTTTCAAAGGGTGCAGCTTGTGCTCCTGGGGTGGCTGGGAGATGGGGGTGGTGGGCGGGTGGAGAGAGTCTGAGGCAAAAAGGGAAACAGGCATGAAATAACACCGTATACTTCCAACTCGAGTTCTTAGCATGTGGGTTGAAGTGAGGGAGAGGATATGTCACAGAAAGGAAAGCTTGAGCTGGCTGCAAAGGGATATTAAGCTTTAGATGGGTGGCCAGGTGCAATGTAATGAGTAGCAGGGGGAACCTAAGACAATTTAGCAAAACATGTCTAAAAAGTCAACAGAGCTGGGGGAGGATGTCTGGGTCTGTCTGGCATCCCGAGTTCAATCCCCTGCAGCACAGAGAACTTCCTGGAGGGTTCACACCAATAATTCCAGCACGAAGGAGTTGAGGGTGGGGAAACCAGGAACTTAAAGTCATCCCTGGCTATAGAAGGAGATGAAAGAGTGTGTTAAAACAAACAAACAGTAGGTGTGGGGGTATAAGTAAGTGATAGAAAATAAAACAAAACGGGGTGGGGGAGAGAAAAGGATGAAAAAAGGCAAAGCACGTTTGGGAAAAAAAAAAAAAAGCAAAGAAATTATTCTCAGGAAACAGGACAGGCACAGGCAGTTCAGCCATTTGATAGCCAATCACAGAAAAATCAGCGTGTTGGTGATGACAGAAGAAAAGATCTGAAAGACTGTGTATTGATTGGATATTAAGTATGATGGGACAGATCTAAAGGGATTTTTAATTATTTTATTTTAAATTATCTAAATTTTTTATGTGTGTATGTATTTTTACCTTCATGTATGTTTGTGTACCACTTGGGTACCTGGCGCCACTGGAGATCAGAAGAGGGTGCTTGATCCCTGGGACTCAGGTTACAGATGGTTGTGAGCCACCCTGGAGGTGCTAGAAATCCAATTCTGGATCTGGCCTTGGTGGTGCATGCCTTTAATCCCAGCACTAGAGAGGCAGAGGAAAGAGGATCTCTGAGTTATGAGGACAGCCTGGTCTACAGAGTGAGTTTCAGGACATCCAGGGCTACACAGAGAAACCCTGTCTTGAAAAACAAAACAAACAGATTTAAAAAAAACTTCAATTTGGTCCTCTAGAAAAGCAGCCAGTGCTTTTAACTGCTGAGTTATCCTTCCAGCTCCCCCATCCCACCCCCTCCATCCCCGGGACTTTGGCAGTCTAAAGAGTTCTAGTCCCCTTTGTTCTGCAGATGATTAATGAACTAATGCCCAGAAAGGTCACCTGATCTCCCTGTCACCAAAGCTCAGCAGCAGAATTCCTAGGCTGAAAAATCCATGTCTTCTTACTACCAAGAAGTCTGACATTCAAGGAAATGTGTTCCGAAGGATGGGAATGTAGACTAAAGGGAAACTAACATGTATATACATGTATACTAACATGTATAACATGTTTTTGTTTGAAGCGTCTATTTAATGGGGCTCAGGGTGAGTAGAAGACCTGGGTTCAACCCCCAACATCAAATAAAAAAAAAATTAGTTCATAAGAAAGATGGCTGGGGGTGTTAGAATCCTTGTTTAGCATTCATGAAGGCCTGCATTTGAGCCTGAGAACCACCTAAAACCAGGGAGGGAGTGCATGCCTCTAATCCCAGCACTAAGGTCATCCTCAGCTACATCCTGAGTTCAAGGCCAGTGGAACTCACTATGTAGGCCTTGAACACACAGAGATCCTTCCGACTCTGCCTTGGCTCTCTACCTCTTTATAATCCTTTATTTACAACTCAGTATTAAAGAGGCATTCTATTTTACTTATTTGAAAAGTATTTGGTGCTAGGACTAGCCTAAGGAGAGATACTGATAGTCTACAGAAGAAACCCTTGATAGGTGCCCCAAAATGATACAGTCTAGGGATCTTGATTGGATTCCTTTTCTTTTTGTTTGTTTTTGTTTGTTTTTTCAAGACAGGGTTTCTCTGTGTAGACCTGGCTGACCTGGTACTCACAGCGATCCACCTGGCTTTGCCTCCCAGAGTGCTGGGATTACAGGATTGCCAAACTTGGATTCGTTTTCACTGCAGTTAAAATAATTAAAAGGTGGTTCACCTTTAATCATAAACTCTGGAGACAAAGAGGATTTCTGTGGGTACAAGGCCATCCCAATCTACAAGGAGGGTTCCAAGACAGTGAGGGCTGTTACACAGAGAAACTTGGCTTAAACAAACCAAAAACAAAAAACAAAAAAACAAAACATTAAAAAAAAAAAAAAAAGCAGAATTAGCACTTAAGAAAGGGGTTTCCTGGAGTCTAGGAAAGACACACAAGCAGAAAAAACACAGAGAAAAAGACCCTCTGAAAAGCAGGGGGTTGGAGGCTGAAAAATCCAATCTCTTCTTGAGGCCTAGAGGTTGTAAAACCTTTATAGAGTCTTCCTCCCTTCTTTTAGGGCTGGTCAGTTTGAAGACAGACAGGATGGTTGGTTGATTGATCCGCCACTGTTGTGTGACATGTCCTGACCAGGCGTTGAACTTATTAAACCAGGGCATTAGCAGGGGTCCTGCCAGTAGAAGACAAAACCTCTCAGGTTTTTGTCTTAAGTCAGGAGGCTGGGGAAGAAGCTGGCCATCCTGGAAATTCGCCACGGCCCATCTCCCTATCAGGGGGTCTAACTCCTGGTCTCTCAATACTAACCAATCAAAAAGGTAACATAGGTTTGGTGTAATGGGGCCCAGAGCTTCTTCGTACATGCCAAGCACGTGCTCTCTGCCAGCAGAGAACTCCCAGCCCCACCCAGATACATGACAAAAGATTAGGCTAGGCGATGTAAGCATACTGCTTTTCAGAAAATCAAACAAACAACAACAACAAAAAAAAAAACGAGTAAGAGTTTCTCAGTAAGTCTGAGGTACGCTTTTTGCATGAAAAGTTGGAGCACAAAACGCAAAAACAAGAAGGCAATGTAACAGTCAAAGAAGAAAGATTATTGCTTGGCTACCAGCAGAACGGACCACAGGCTTACGCCCGACCCTAGTTTGCCGATGCCGGCCACGCCCCACACCACGCCCATCGCGCAAAGCATGGTGGGACTTGTAGTCTTTTCCCCCACATCTACTCCCAGGAGGCGGGGAGACCCTGCTTTACGTAAATGAACCCTTCTTCCCAACGCAGTTTCCCTTTTCTCCCTTTCCGCCAGGCCTACTAGGGAAGGTTTGAAAATTCCCGCGGAGTCGGCGCCCGAGGCCGGAACCCTCGCGAGAAGTCGGCCCCGCAGCGCGATCTGCGCTCCTCTCCCCGCCCTGGCCGCGCTCCTTCCCTCGGCGGAGAGGCTCCGTGTGGGGTTCGGGCAGTGCGCCCGGGGTACTGCGCAGAGCACGGCCTGCGCGGTGCCAGCCTAGTAAGTCGAGTCGCCGGCGGGGAGGACGCGGCGCGGGCCGCGGCGGAGTTGGAAGCCGGGATTGGGCCAAGGCGCCGCCGGGGCCTGAGGGGGCCCGGCGAGCGGCCGAGCGAGGAGCGGCTTCCGCGGGCGGGGGCGCGCGCCGGGCCGTGTCTCCCGGGAGATGCTGTGACGGACCGCACGGAAGCAGCGGCGCCGCGGCAGTCGGCGGCCTGGGCCGCGGGGCTCAGGTAGGGCGGGGAGCCGCAGGCCCGCGTGCCGAGGCGGGGCCGGCCGGGGCGGCGAGGCCCGGGCCTAGGCCGGGTGCACCGCCGCGCGGGGCGGCGGCGTCCGCGAGCCGCGACCGGTGCGGCTCGTTCCAGCGCTCGGGCGTTAGTTACATAACCTCGGCGGCGAGCTCTGGCACATGGCGGCAGGGTCCCGTCTCCGCGCTCACCTCCCGCGCCCGTGGGCAGCACCTCAGCCCCCCGGGGCGGGCCCGACTCGAGACCCCGAGCCGTCGTGGTGTAGCGGGGCGATGGAGACCTTTCTGGGGCGTTCCCCGCTGGCAGCCGCGGGCCCTCCGGGTCTCTCCAGCGTCGGTGTGCCCTCCACACGGTCCTGTGCTTCACTTGGATGAGCCCTGGGCGGGGAAGAAAGTTTGACTCGCGAGTGCGGGTCGTGAATGGGTCTGGTGCGGGACGTTTAGGATAACCGTGTCAGGGGCTGGTCTGCGAGGTTTGGGGCCCGATTCGGCTGACTCTCGGGGGCGTCTGTTACTTGTGCCTTTTGAATGGATAGCTACATGTGGTCAGTTGAGACCGGCGGCTTTTGTTGACTTTGCGGAACATTTCTGTGTGGTACCGTGGAGGGAGGACCGCGTTCAGGTCCTCACACACGCCAGGCGAGCGAGCGCTGTACCGCCGAGCCGTGCCCCCGGCATGGGGTCGGTTGATTTTTGGTTCCCAAAGGAAACGGCATCCATTCTGTAGAGGTGTGTTTGTTACAGGAAAGTGAGCGTTGTTATTTTTGAGGCCAGTGATCGATGCGCGTACTAAGCTCGCGCTCCACCACCGAGGTCCAGTCCAGGCCGATGGGCTTTGTTTTAATAGATAGTTGGAGACGTTTTTGAAAGAACGTGTTTTGTTTTGTTTTAATAAGAACAAAACGTACTTTTGAGTTTTCTTCTTGATATCCTGAAGGATCCATGGGCTTTAAGAACAGTCTTCAGTGAGCTTTAGTAACTGTCAGCCTCTCCTAAGACAAGTTGTTGGGGTGAGTTTACTTATTTCGGGCGGTGATGGCAGGTATGGGAAGACCATATCTTGTGATTTAGTTTGTACTTTTATTGGTTCTGGGGGTTAAATCTGTGACCTCACGCGTGTTAAGCGCAGGAACTACCACTGAGCTACTCTCTGTTTACTTTCCAAGATCTTCTTAGAGACAGTTACCACTTTGTAGCCAGGCCGTCTCCGAATTTGAGCTCCTCTTGCCTCAGCCCCTGGAATAGCTGGGATTACACACTGGCCAGAGCCACAGAGTAACTTGGTAGTAAACTGTTACCAATCTCTAGCACAATTTATTTTGTAAACGTTTACAGTTGGAGCACAGATCTCCACTTAACAAGATATTACCCTTTTTAGACTCTCACTTTGTAAATATACAGGGACTCCCAAGAATAAAGTGTTCCTTCTCTAGGTTGATTTAAAGGTCTCTGTAGCCTGTCTAATCCATTCAGTCTTATCTCACGGATTTTCTGTTTTCAGCCTTACAAAGTAAGCACCAGGCCTGGGCTCTCATATTCGAGAAAAGCCGTTTGATGTTTGGAGGCTTATCTTCAATTTGGTGTACCAGCTTAACGTTTTAAAAATTCTCACGTTTCAAATCCTGCCCCTGACTTATACCACCTTTTGTCTGTACTCTCTCTCTTTTAAATCTGTTTGTTCCTAGGATTTCACAGCATATGTATCTCTACTGTAGCATTTATTCTGTATCTGAAACTTTGATTATGAATGCTCTCTTCTAGAATGTAAACTTCTGGAGGTCAGAATGTAGTTCTTCCCTGCCCTTTGTTGGCTTCTATCTTTCTCAGCACAGTGTTTTAAAAGTGGATAGCCAAGAATGTTGGTGCAGGATCATACATGTGGCAAATGGAGGCAGAAAACATGAGAAGTTCAAACCAGCCTGAGCTTCCTGAACTCCTGTCTGAAAACAAAAAGTAAAGCGATGAGTGGTTAATATTTGTATTAAAATGGAAAGAATTTATCCACTTTTTTAGACCAGATACTTAACAAATAGGTTTAGAGTTCAGTTTTGGTCAGTAGACCTCAGTTACTTTGGGAATGTGAATATTTCATTCCAGAAACTTGCTTATGTTATTTAATTTCTTAGCTTTATAAATTTTCTTCATAATGAAATAGTGATATTTTCAAAATAAGAGATGCAGAATATTGAGGGGTTTTAAAATTATATCTTAATGTTTATTGTAACAGTGTATGATGGCATACACCTTTAATTCCATTTCTCAGGAAGGAGAGACAGAAGGATGTCCTAGGGTTTGAGGGCAGTTTATGATACATAGCAAGCTCTTCTCCCTTTTTGTCTAATTGCAAATAGTAGTAGGCCAATTCAGATTGGATTTCATTCCAAATTTCCTAGTCTTTTCCCTGTTTTGTTATACTTCCTGTTGTAATTCCTGAAATTGAACTGTGAATTCATCTAGCGTATTTTCTCCTCCTCTCTATTGAACTTAGTCTTACTGTCTCTTTCAAGTGATTTTTTTTTTTTTTTTTTTAACCTGCTTTACCATTTTGGACATTCAGGCTGTTGCTCAAGAAACAAGTTTAATGACCTTGTATAGTAATTCTGACAGCATAGACTTGCATTAAGCTCTGGTATAGCACTGAGCTTTCTCTATTTTTAGTGAAGGTCTTGCTGTAAAACCTTGGCTTGTCTAGAACGTAAACCAGACTGTCTTGGAACTTGTGGCTATCTTCCTTATTTTTCCTCCCAAATACCAAGATTATAGGTCTGTCACCATGTCTAGCTGAGGAGTCTGCCTCTTTGGAACTCAGTGCATTAAACAACAAGATAGGGTCTCCAGGACTAGATTTGATAATTAACATTCAAGACCAAAGTCAGCTTGTCTCTCAGTTCTCATTGTCCCTTTTTCCCTTTCCGCTCTGCTTTTTATCTCGTTGAGAAAGATATTTTTCAGTTTAACCAGAACTCTTGGTTTTGTTTTCTGCGAATGGGTGTTTACCTCCGTGGATACAGGTGAACTGCACACTCACTGGGTGCCTGGTGCCTGTAGATTCAGAAGGAATTGCCTCCCCTGCAACTGGACTTAAGTTGGTGGCTGTGAGTCACCGTGTGGGTGGCTGAACCAAGCCTGTGTCTTCCCCAAAAGCAACATCTCCAGCCCTACTTTTTGGTTATTTACAAATGAAGGGACTTTAGTCTTCTGTATAGTAGAAATTAAGGATTATAATTTAGATTTAAAGATTATAATTTAGATTTTTTTTTTCTATCTAGTAAAAGATAGTTATCAGATTCCGTTTTTGCAGTTTCTGGGGAATCTGGACATTATTTAGGTTTCTTTTTTACTGGAAAAACAAACAAACAAACCTTTTTCAGGGTTGAAGATGTTAGTTTAGAGGCACTGGGCCAATCCCAGCATACAAAAAGGAAAAGGAGTAAAGTATGGAAAAGAGGTAACTCTTAGTATGGGCCTGTCCCTGTTTACTGCTCTGTCTGCTGTTGCTCTCTCTCTGAAGGTTGGGCAGTGAGGTGAATTACACAGAAGTGTTGTCACAGAACAGGAATAAAGGCTATCCTCAGGACATCTGGCTTTGTGAATATATTCCTAAGGCTGCCTGAAAGAAATAGTTTCTTAGGAAATTGATTTTTATAGATGTTGGACCCATATGTGTATAATTATTTCACTTTTATTTACTTTTGTATGTGACTTGCTTTCCCTCATATTTATTCTGATTAGAAATAATGAAATATACTATACAATAGAACAAATAATCATAATAATTTCATTTTTTAAAAAAATGTTTACAGTGGAAGTATGCAAGACTTAACAGCTCAAGTGACTAGTGATCTCCTGCAGTTCCCGGAAGTGACTGTTGAAGCTCTTGGAGAAGATGAGATAACATTAGAGTCTGTGCTTCGTGGAAAGTTTGCTGCAGGTAAATAAGGTTGCTGATGAGTCACTAATTGGGACTGGAGCTCAGTGGTAAGACACTTGCTGCCTGGCCCTTCTCATGGTCCTAGTTTAGTTTCCGTTACTCCAAACACCGATAACCCGTACCTGTACTCATGCATACACACACATGAATGCGGGGGTGGGGGGGTTAGCAGTTAAGAGCACTTGCTGCTTAATCATGAGGACTGGAGCTGGGCTGTTCAGCCATTCACAAACCTGTAATTTCAGCTTCACGAGATCACCCTCTTCTGGCCTACACAGGCAATCTCATATCCTCATAGAGACAAAACACACCCACACATAAATAAAATAGATACTTATTTTAAAAAATTTTGTTTGTTTTTCTGAGACAGGGTTTCTCTGTGTAACAACCCTGACAGTCCTGGACTTGCTTTGTAGACCAGGCTGGCCTCAAACTCAGAGATCTGCTTGACTCTGCTGGGATTAAAGGTGTGCAGTGACCACACTCAGCAAAAACAGAAAAATTACCAATTTGGTTTGTAAGACAAATATATATTAGTTTGTTTTAAATCTCAATTGTTCAATTTTACCACTGCAGTGGCTCCTCTGTGTGCTTCTTGCTACATTTGTGGGCTGCTAGAGGAGATACTCTACATAGGTGAGGGCCTTGGGCCTGCGCTGTGCTAAGATTGTCCTCCTAGTACCTACCGAACAGGTCCACTTTTGGTCCTGGTTGGCTGCAGACCTAATGGGACCTAATGGCACTGAAACTTTCCCTATCCCATGGAAGTGAAGAAAAGGAATCTCACTGAATAAGATATATACTATCTTTTGAATTGTGTGGTACAACAGAACTGTACCAGAGCAGCAGATTCCTCCTTGTTCTTGTTGTTTTTGTTCTTCTTCTCTTCTCTCTCTCTTTTTTTTTTTTTTTTTTTTTTGAGATTGGGTCTCACTATGTAGCTCTGTCTGTCTTGGAACTCACCAACTAGACCAGACTGGCCTCAAACTCAGAGATTTGAATGCTTTTGCCTCCCGGGATTACAGGTGTGCATCACTGCGCCTGGCTCCATGACAGCTTTTTATTGCAAAAAAACTTTTCTAAGTAAGTATTAATCTGTGTAGCTGAGAATAGAAAGGCTAATCAATGTGATCCTGATGCACACATAGCAAGTTTAGAAAGGAGCCTTGAGCTCTGGCATTCTGGTCTCCACTGTGCTGCGTGTCATGCTATCTTCATAACCAGTACATAGTATCCCTCAACTAGGAGCTCTTGCGTCTAGCTGTCTGGGTGCATTTTTTTGTGTGGGGCTTTTCCTGGGGACATAGAACTTACTGCTTATACAGATGGTAACCTACAACAGACCAAAGTAACGATTACACTAGGTTTGTGAATTTATTGGAATTATAGGAGTGTGAGTGATGGCTATTACAAGAAAAAGAGGTGACTCAAAGGCAGCTGCATCATTGAAAAGCCATCCCCAACATGGAAGTTGCTTCCCTGGGGTCCTCTACACAATTTACAATCTGTCATCAGTTCTGTTGGTCGGTTTCTTTCTCTCAGGAAGAGAACCCATGACTCTTGCAAGTTTAAGCTTTCTCAGCTGTGTACAGCTTGTTTACTTTCTGGGTCTCATGAACCTTCCCTCTCCTGGTAGGTTTTCCATTAGAAAAAATAGTTACACAGTAATGGGCATCTTCATGGTAGCAGAGCAGTTACCTTCATCTAGTGGCTTGTGGAAATGTAGGATGTTGGGTTTGATTTCTTGAAACGTCTCACTATATAGTTCTCCTTCAGTCTCGTAAATACTGGGATTATAAGCATGCAGCACCAATGTCCAGTATAGGGTCTGTTCTTAATTCTTTTTTATACTTCATATCTACCCATCAATAAGTAAATCATATTCTGTCTGTAAGATGAAACTTTTTAATTTATTTAGTTATTCACTTTACAAGATGAAACTCTTAATCCATTCTTTTCACAGTCACCAACTAGTGTGTATCATTTCACAATATCTGCTTTCTCTTTCCTCTCTCTTTTTTTTTTTTTTTTTTTTTGTTGTTGCTGCGTAGTGGCTAGATAACATTAGATTGTGTTGAGTAAATTTATGAATTTGGGCACCAATGTGCCCAATCTCTACTGCACGATTTTACTGCTGTAGTTCTTTATTTTTTTGAGGAACATTGTGCTTTGCTTTTAATTCAGGAGGGGTTAGTAATAGTTTGTATAATAAAAGAAGGGTTATAAAAGAGCTAACTACTTGATTTGTTATGTTGCAGTGATATTATAATAAGCAGTAATTTTGCTTCTTTTTTTTCCTTCGTAGGAAAAAACGGACTAGCATGCTTAGCTTGTGGTCCACAACTAGAAGTTGTAAACTCTCTAACAGGGGAGCGGTTGTCTGCATACAGATTTAGTGGAGTAAATGAACAGCGTCCTGTAGTCCTTGCAGTAAAAGAGTTCTCTTGGCATAAGAGAACTGGATTGTTAATAGGGTTGGAAGAAGCCGACGGCAGCATTCTTTGTCTTTATGACCTGGGCATATCAAGAGTGGTCAAAGCAGTTGTTCTTCCTGGAAGGGTATGTACTGGTTAAGATTCCTTGATAGTTTTCCCTTCCAGGCTGAAAGCTTATAAGATGTTCTTCTTACCTTAAAAACTAATTGAACTTTACATTTACAATTAATATATTTTCATGTAATGATCACCTTCAATATACAGTTCAAATCCTTTACTTAGGGGCGTACATGCTCATGTGATGGTCAGGGCAACTTGTGGGACTCAGACCTACCTCTCCTTTTACCTTTATTTGGGTTCCAGGCATCAAATTAAGGTTGTCAGGCTTGCATCCTTGGGCAGCAAGTAGCTTTACTATCTGAACCATTTTACTGGCCCCTCAAAAATTTAAGATGACCAGGTATAGTAGGACATTCATTTAATCCTAGCACTCAGGAGGCAGAGACAGGTGGGTCTCTTGAGTTCAAGGCAAGAGTCATCATTCAACTATGTATAGCCAAGGCTACCCAGTGAGACCCTGTCTTAAAAAAAAGAGCAGATTATAACTCATTTAGACAGTCTGTACCCCTTTCAAGATTTTTGAGGGAGCTGGAGAGATGGCTCAGCAGGTAAGAGCACTGTCTGCTCTTCCAGAGGTCCTGAGTTCAATTTCCAGCAACCACATGGTGGCTCACGACCATCTATACTGGAATCTGATGTCCTCTTGTGGCATGCAGGCATACATGCAGATAGAGCACTCATATATAAAATAAAATCTTTTTTAAAAACGATCTTAAAGGAGCTGGAGAGATGGCTCAGAGGTTAAAAGCATTGGCTGCTCTTCGAAAGGTTTTCAGTTCAGTTCCCAGCAACCACATGGTAGCTCACAACCACCTATAATGAGATCTAGTACCCTCTTTTAGAGTTCAGGTATATATGCAAACAGAACATTGTAAACATAATATATAAATAAATCTTTAAGAAGATTTTAAAATTGAATGTGTTATGCATGTTTTGCTTGCATATATGTCTATGTACTATGTGCATGCCGTACTCACAGGGCATTGAATCTGCTAGAACTGGAATTAAAGATGGTTGTTAGCCATCATGTGGCACCTCTGGAAGGGCAGCCATTGCTGTTAATTGCTGAGCCATTTTCCAACTCTGGTTTTACACCTTTGATAAAAACACAACATCTTGTTTGTTGTGACTATTGGCTTTTTTGCTGTTATGTTATTTGGGAAGTATTTTGGTCACTGTTCCTGTTGCTCTGAAGATACACTATGACCAAGACAACACGTTTAATTCGGATTTGCTTAAGAGTTTCAGAAGCTTAACCCATTATAATTATGGCAAGGAGCATGGCAGACAGGCATGGTAGATAAATAGCTGAGAGCTATCTACATCCTGATCCACAATCAAAGGAGAGAGAGAATCTGAGCTTGTTGTGGGCTTTTAAAATCTCAGGCCCACCCCCAGTGATACTTTTCTCCCAATATGGCCATACCTACTCCAACAGGGATATACCTCCTAGTCCTTCTAATCCTTTCAAACAGTTCTACTGTGTGGTGGCTAAACATTCAAATGTATGGGGCTATTGTTTTTTATCTTTTTGAGACAGGGTTTCTCTGTACAGCCATGGCTGTCATGGAATTTCCTTGGTAGATTAGGCTGGCCTTGAATTCACAGAGTTCTCTGCCTTATAATTTTTAAGTTTGTGTTCCAAGCTTCAGTCTATTTCATCTTTAAACAGATAATTGTATGTATTTCAGTAAAAATTATGTAAACAAAATGAGCTAGCTAACAAATGACTAGCCTAAACCATGCTATCAAGAAACATCAGTTAATTTTCATTTTTCTTAAGAGTTATGTATTATGTATACAGTGTTCTGCATGCATGTGTGCCTGCATATCAGATGTGGGCACCAGATCTTCTTACAGAAGGTTGGGAGTCACCATGTGGTTGCTGGGAATTGAAATCAGGACCTATGGAAGTGCTTAGCAGCCAGTGCCCTTAACCTCTGAGCCATCTCAACTCCCTAATTTTCATTTTTTATTATGTTGATATAATAGCATAATTTTGAAGTATATTTGAGAATTTCCATTTTTCTAACATTCATAGATATCATGCAAATTATGATTCAAAATAATATTTAAGTCTGTTTAAGTTACTAACATGCCTTGATATCAAATCTTATTTGTTGTACAGTTGATTTAGCTTCTGATCACATATTCTGATTCCTAGGTAACAGCTATCGAGCCTATAATTAATCACGGAGGAGCCAGCGCAAGCACTCAGCATTTACATCCAAGTCTTCGATGGCTTTTTGGTGTGGCAGCTGTAGTAACTGATGTTGGACAGATCCTTCTGATTGACCTATGTTTAGATGACTTGTCATGTAGTCAAAATGAAGTAGAGGCATCAGGTAATTGAGCTATTTTTTTATTGGGAAACAAAAACTGAGCATTTCAATGTGTGGCATAATGGAAAATTTGCCTTTTCAAGACAGGGTTTGTGTAGCCCTGGCTGTCCTAGAACTCAACTCTGTAGATCAGGCTGTCTTTGAACTCAAGTTATCTGCCTCCTAATTTTTTCAAATAGAAATTTCTTCTGTTGTGTGTACCTGGCACTGTAGTCTTCTTGGATAAGTCACGTTACTTTATTGGAATGTCAATATAGTAAAGTAGACTTTGAAAAATGTAGAGATTGGGTTATTGAGGCAGCAGTATTATGAATGAGATCAGGGTAGCATAGAATCTGGAAAGCTCTAGGCCAGGTCAGCCTAGTTAATGAGACTCTTTCTCAAGAAAAGTGAAAAGGAAGAAATGATAAAAGGCTAATGGTTTGTTTCCATATGTATACTAAAAGGATCTACTTTATTTTTATGTGTGATTTTTTTTTTTTTCCTACATATACTGGTTCCTGTGGAGGTCAGAAGATTAGGTCAGGAGGTTAGGTACTCTGGGAACTGGAGTTGTATACATGTGTGGAGACATCAGAGGACATCCTTTTGGATTCAGTTCTCTCCTTCCTGTCTTTATTTTAAAATCTTATATTTTGTGTGCATGTATATGTGTCATTGTGTACATGTGAAGGTCAGAGGACAACTTGCAGGAGATGGTTCTCTGCTTCTACCATGTGGGTCTAAGGAATTGAACTCAGGTCAGTAAACCTTAGTGACGGGTATCTTTTATCAAGTGAGCCATCTTGACAGTCCCCAGTGTACACCTGTATGTGGAATCTAGGAATTGAACTCTGCTGGCCCTTACTTAGTTTCTTAATCTTACTTGTCTTTTATTTTAGACCTTGAAGTTATCACTGGTATTCCAGCTGAAGTACCACACATCAGAGAGAGTGTGATGAGAGAAGGGCGCCACCTGTGTTTCCAGTTAGTAAGCCCATCAGGAATAGCCATTTCTACTCTCAGCTATATTAGCAGGACAAATCAGCTTGCTGTAGGTTTTTCTGATGGCTACTTAGCACTCTGGAACATGAAAAGCATGAAAAGAGAGTAAGTATAATTTTTTTTCCTCTTAGTTGATGATTAATCATTTCTTTTAAGTATAATGCATCAGATATTTGAAAATTAGTATAAGAAAAATGACAGTGTGTATAATTTAATACGTCATAGTTTGATAAGGAAATTATTCAGAATGTAAATTTAGGTTGGTTCTTTCAGAGTTTATAAAGTATCAGTAGAGGATCAAGATTGGGGCCCAGCATGGACAGCAAAGCAAGGTCCATACAACCCTGGCCTTTACAGTACCTTAGCTCAAAGAGAAGAAAGAAAAAAGGGTGAGGGCATTATTACAGTAATTGTGATAGCCCATTTGCTGATCAAGTATATCTATGAATAAACTGCATATGTGTGTAGTGTGAATTCTGTAATCTATTAAAAACAACAGTTTAAGTGTTCTTGGGATTTTTTTAAATAAAAGTCAATTATTGAATACTTAGTAAGTTTTTTATGCTGTTAAATTTCCCTTAAATATAATTGAACTGAAACTTGTATGGAAGTAAAGCAGCTTGTGATAATGAAGCAAGCAGCAAGTGAAATACCAGATTGTAGTTTTTAGGTAAGAGATAGGCCCGTGTCTATTTGATATTTAAGTTTCTTTACCCTTTATTTTCCCCCAGCTATGTTGGTATGTTTTTTGGGTATTTTGTCTTTCTTATAGGTTGTCCTCTGTTCTCGTTCATTTCAACCTTTTACTAGCTCCACTTTTGAATTGCTGCTAAAACAGCATCTGGAAAAATGTTACATTTACAGCATTGTTTTTTTTTTTTTTTTTTAACATTTATTTTTTGGCTTATCACGCTTATAAAGCTGTTCATGAAAACTTTTTAGTTTCTTACTGATTGCCTTTCTTGTCTCTAATTTTTAAATTGTGAAGGGGAGGGAGACTTACATGTGCCACGGTGCATATGGCGGTTAGTACAATTTCAGGAGTCTCTTCTCCTTACACCATGTAGACTCCGGGGATTGCAGTCAGGCCATCAGGCTTGGTAGCACATGATTGACGGGCTGAGACATCTCATGGGCCCTCATCTATTGTTTTTATAGTAGAAAATTGACTTTAAACGCAAGGGACAGCGGGGTATCGCGCCTCTAGCACTGGGGAGATGGAGACGGAGCCAGAATGGTGAGTGTCAGGCCAGCTTCAGCTGTGTGGCAAGTCTGCGAGCAACCTGGGTGACATGAGACTCTGAAAAAGCAAACAAGTTGGATTATTGTGGCAGTTGTTCTGCCTCTCAGGGTGCGCTTTGAGGAATGACAGGAATGGTGTGCATTGTGTGCCATATCCCCCAAATCACTGAATTTAGGCAACTGTATAGTGTCTCTTTAACCCAGATTTTTAGATCAGGTACTTTCTTCTAAACCTTAAACTTTAATTTGAAAATAAGCAGTGTGTTATTTTGTTTGTTTTAGGTATTATACACAGTTAGAAGGTGGAAGGGTTCCTGTCTATGCAGTTGTCTTTCAAGAACCTGAGAATGATCCTCGTAACTGCTGTTACTTATGGGCTGTTCAGTCCACACAAGATAGGTTAGTATGCCTGTGGTTTCTAAAAGTGCGGGTCATGAGGCTGGAGATAGAGCAAGCAGTAAAGAAGTCAAACTGGAACACATTGTTTCTTTTGCAATGTTGGAATTATATTAACCACTGTCATATTGTGATAGCTCCACATGTTGTGCTGTGTGTGCGTTGTGCCTGATTTATTTGGTGCCTTTGCTTCGTGTCCTTATTGCAAAGCCCTCTTCTTGTATAGGGTGTGATCTTTATAAGAGTGGAGGGCATGTCTCTGAAGGTATGTTCGCTGCACTTGCCATGGGATGAGTCTGTTCATACTCTTGTTGTCCAGGAGTCAGTGTGGTACAAAGGAAGGTAGGGAAGGCAGTTGATAGTTTTAGGTCGCCGTATACATAACTAAAATACACTTATTGAGAGAGGAATGTCTAAGAGAGAATATTGGATAAAAGGCATGTTTACTATGCCAAATATTGCATTAGTTACATTTTGTACAAACAAAATCTATTCTGTGCAACTGCAGTTAGTCAGCAGCATTCAATGTGTTATGTAAAAAAATGGGAGGATAAGATGTAGGCTCCGTGTTTTAGTGTCTCGGGTAATTTCTCTTTCTTCCAGTGAAGGGGATGTTTTGAGTTTGCATCTGCTTCAGCTCGCTTTTGGTGATAGAAAATGCTTGGCATCAGGGCAAATCTTATATGAGGTAAGTGGTTATTAGAATATTATTTTTGTCTATTTTGTGTTCTTATAAAAGATAACATACTGAAGTTACTCTCATGTTCAAGTTAAGGCTGTATTCATCTTGTAATGGAAGAAGGAATAGGTTAGTGAGCTTGAGCTTTCTAATGCCCTTCACCTATTTTGCCATTGCAGCACTCTAAATTTTTCTAGGTGGTTTTTTCCCCCCAAGTTTGTTACCTAATTGTACTACCCAGGAGAAATACTCCTAACTTTATTCTGATATATCAAGCAGAAAGTACACCATGAATAACTTCAGGGTGTATACATGAAGATGACTACTTATTTGTCTAACTGAATTTCCAAAATTTAAAAAAGAAGTGTTACAAATAGCTATATTTTCTAAACTCTAGAACAGACTTTCTGAACTAAATGTTTAGGTATCTGGATGGATTTTAGAGAATATGAATTGTAATGATAACAATTTTTTCTGGGAGCATCTCAACCTTTTGTTAGATTTTAAGGGAATCTGTGATGAGAGAATTTTAAGCTGTGCTTAGTGGCACGTGGCTTTAATGTGAGCACTGAGCATAGGCAGGTAATTCTCTAGGAGCTCAAGGCCACCTTTGTCCACAGAGTGAGTCCAGCACAGTCAGTTACACAGAGAGACCCTGACTTGAAAAGAGGGAGGGGTGGGTGGGTAAAAACTGTTCTTGTTCAGTGAGCAAAAGTTTCTCTTTTAAGAATCAATACTCAGTTCTTTTGAGGCAAGGCGAGTTCTAGGACAGCCAGGACTATGTAGAGAGACTTTGTCTCAAAACAAAACTGAGCAAAAAACCCTATTCTTAAGAATTGACTTGAGAACACAGAAATAGACTTGCTGGTTATGGTGTTCCGCTTTGTACTCCAGCTAGTATGTGTGAGTGCTCCCATATTTTATACAACTGCAGAACAGTTACTGGTAATCATTTTTGAGAATGTAATTCTAGCTTGGTATCTACATTTATTGTTGTTTATACTTTTATAGCCTTCAGAGTGATTAGATCTTTTAAGTCTTTTTGTGTGGAAAAACTTAATATAGGAATGTTTGATTTTAAAACACTTATATTTAGAATAGTGTTAAAATTTGTGCATATTTTATGTTGCAGGGATTAGAATACTGCGAAGAAAGATACACGCTGGATCTAGCAGGTGGCATGTTCCCCTTAAGGGGACAGACTAGTAATACCAAATTGTTGGGATGCCAGAGTATAGAGAGATTTCCGTCTCATGGTGACAGGGAAGAAAGTATGAGAGAAGGTTGGTTAAATACTCTTTTAACTATTTGTGTGATGACTTAACATTTATGTCAGAAATACTGATTAATTAAGTTGAAAATTAAGATCCTGGTTATGTCATTTATTCAGTCTTTTAGGTCTTTCTTGCTCTCTGGATTGCCATACAGAACTGCAGAACTGAGACATCAGCTATTTTAGTTAGTACATCTCCATTTTCGTTAGTACAGTTTGTCATTTTGAGCCATGCTGTGTTTACCTTGACACACACCCCCCTTTATTTTAATTTCCTTCTTCTGAGTAAAGATCCTGGGGTAGATTTTTTTAAACCTTTAACTTTTTTTTTTTTTTTTTTTTTTTTTTGCATTTTTTTAGTCCTATTTCTCCTTCAGTAGGTGATACTCTTATGTCACAGATTCTTCTGCTAAGTTCATTCATCCCATGGATGCCCCACTGTCATATTTCCCACTTTTTAGTTTGTGATCCTGTTTTTACATCCAAATGAACACGTCAGTCAGTTTACCGTGTCATTTCTCTTACTCCCTCTCGACATTTTCCTCTCAGTTGCCTTTAGTGGTGTCTGAGGTTTTTACTTTTGTCTCCCTGCCGAGGCCCCTTCTGGTGCCCTTCTCCTACCACGGGTCTAGGTATTTGTGTGTGTTTGCCTTCCCCGTATGGTTAGAGCTAAGCTAAGTTCCTCTAAAAAATTAAACCTCAGTGCTTAAGGATATCCATTTTGGGTACTGGATTAACTTCTGGTGCTAGCTGTGTACCATCTTGGGGGGGAATATTCCCAGAAATCATTTTGTACTTTGTTGTCTGAAACAAGTAAAGATAGAATGTTCTGATGAGAACATCCTAATAGCTAAAGAGTAATATCAGAGTCTAAGTGAGACTTGAGAAATGGTTTGATAAATGCTGAAATATGAATTAAATCTTACTGGGATTCTGTTGTGGTTTACATTTAGGTTCTTTATTCTGTTTTTGAAAAGTAATTGGGTTTTTTTTGTGTGTGTGTGTTTTCTTTTGCAGCTCTCTCCCCTGATACTAGTGTCTCTGTCTTTACCTGGCAAGTGAATATATATGGACAGGGAAAGCCTTCTGTATATTTAGGACTTTTTGACATAAATCGTTGGTATCATGCACAGATGCCAGATTCACTGAGGTATGATTATTCTGTTTTCTCGCCCCTTCTCCTTCAGATATGGCCATGTGTAGCTGATCAGTGTCACAATACTTTTAAATTTTTTCTTTTAGATCAGGAGAATCTCTGCATAATTGCTCTTATTTTGCATTGTGGTCATTGGATTCAGTTGTGAGTAGGACTTCTCCACATCACATCTTGGACATATTAGTACATGAGAGAAGTTTAAGCCGAGGGGTTCCTCCTTCATACCCACCTCCTGAGCAGTTTTTTAACCCAAGTACTTTTAATTTTGGTATGTGTTTTTATAAATTTTTGAAGAAAATACTGTATAATTATAAAATGTCAGTTCTATATCAGTTTATATGTAGTGTCATTTGTCCATATTTCACTGTCATTTAACTTACATAAATTCTTTGATACACTTACATGTACAAAAGAAACTTAAGTGTTTATAAATTAATACTGTTTTGAACCTTTTTAGAAAATGTCAGTTAATATGTTAGTGATAAAGTTTGTCACTATCTCTGAAAAGGTTTTCTTAAGAATTTATAATTGCCGGGCAGTGGTGGTACATGCTTTTAATCTCAGCACTCAGGAAGCAGAGACAGGCAGATCTCTTGAGTTTGAGGATGGCTAGGGATGCATAGAGAATTTCTGTCTCAAAAAAACAACAGCAGCAACAAATTTATTCTTGTTGGGTGTGCTTGGTCTATGCCTTTAACTCCAGCAGAGGCAGGAGGATCTCTTGAGAGTTTAAGGCCAGCTGGGAGTTCACAGTGAAACCCTGCTTGGTGTTTTGTTCTGTTGTGTTTTGTTTGTTTGTTTGTTTGTTTGTTTGTTTAGGGGGAGAACTGATTCATTCTATATAATCATTTGGTTATAATACTCTAAGAATAATTTTGATTAGTTCTATGTAATAATTTGGTATAATATAATTTTGAAATAATTCAAATTTTAAAATCTTTTTTCTTTTTTAGATGCCACTTGTTTGTTAAACTCTGGAGTTATCCATGTAACTTGTACTGGATTTCAGAAGGAGGTATGTATGAATTAACTACATGCTGTTTGTGTGTTGAGTATTTCTTAAATTAAATTTGAATTGATGATGGCTGATGTTGGACTAATTTCTCTATTACAGACTTTGACATTTTTAAAGAAATCAGGACCATCTCTTAAAGAAGTCATTCCTGATAGTTATAACCGATGTCTTGTTGCTGGCCTCCTCTCACCAAGACTTATTGATGTTCAGCCTTCCAGTTTAAGTCAGGTGAGATATTTAACTACATCCTATCTTTTGAATATATTTTTTGCAAAAGCGAGTGATGTGGAACTGTATTCATTCTGTATTTTCATGTTCAAGGATCAATAGCTGTGGTCTTGGGATTTGGCTTCCACGTCCACTAACTTAGCTAGAGAGATGCTCAATGGTTAAGAACACCGGTTACTCTTGCAGAGGACCCTGGTTCATTTCCCAGGACCTACAACGTGCCTTGTCACAACCATCTGTAACTCCCGTTCCAGGGGACCTGATGATGGTTTCTTGACTGCTACTGGCACCAGCTATACACATGGTACACACAGAGATGCCAGCAAAATAACTTTTAAGAAGTCACACATAGAGCTGGGCTTGGCAAGGCAAGCATGTAATCCTAGTTACTGAGGTAACAAGATCAAAGTTGGGCTGGGCCAGTGTGAGTTGGTACAAGCCTTTCTTGTACAACTTACTGAGACTCTCTTAAAATAAAAAGAGGACAGGATGATGAATAGGTTAGTCGGAGAGTGAGTGCTTGCTTGTGACTTAGGCTCCAGTACTACCACTAAAAGTACGAACAAACAGCATGAGGTGCCCTTAGCTGTCTAGTTGGTTTCATTGAGGATGTCATATAAATGAGTCTTTTCTGGGTGTTATGATTGTCCCATCTCCTTACCAATGCTGCATATTACTGTCCTTTCTTTTCCCACTGTTTCACCTAGGTTGCCCTCAGACTTAGATCCTCTCGTCTTAGCCCAAGTTCTGGAATTTTGGGCATGTGCTTTATTGTCTGACTATTGCCAAACTAGAGGGTCATAACTATGTTCCAACCTTTCACAGCTTGTGATTTCATACAGTCTTTTTCTTTAACATGGTTTAGGAAGAACAATTAGAAGCTATATTGTCAGCAGCAATTCAGACAAGTTCCTTGGGACTGTTGACTGGTTACATCAGAACGTGGATAATAGAAGGTAACAGTTTCACTTTGTAAAAATAAAACATTTCATAGTTTTACTTTTTAATTAAACTTTTTTCATGAAATCATTTTAAATTCACATAAAACTGTAGGGCATAATACAGTGAGAGTCTGTGTATGCTTTATACCAGCTTCTCCCCCAGTGATAGTCTAGCAAACATCTTGTGTAAATTTTCCAAGAGCCCAAACATTGCCCCCATATCTACCTCCCTCTTGCCCTGTGCCTGAGCACTAATCTGCTCTCTACTGCTACGGTTTTGTTATATGGTTGTAAACTGAATCATGCAGTGTAGTGTATAAATTTTCATACACTTTTTCCGCTCAGCTAAAGTCCCTAGAGATGCATTCACAGTATTGTCTGTATCTCTTTTGCTCTTTACATGTGTATGTGTACATATACATGCTCTGCCCCATAATGATCTCTTGTGAAACACTTGAAAGAAAGCATTGTGTTTTGTTTGCTTGGTTAGTTGTTTTTTCGAGACATTGTTTCTCTGCATAGCCTTGGCTTTCCTGAGCTTGCAATGGCCTCCACCTAACACAGACCCTGCCTGCTTCTGCCTCCCTGAGTGCTGAGATTTTAGCCTGCAAAACCTCACCCAGCTTGCATCTTTTTTTTTTAACTCATTTATTTTATTTGAAAACAAAAGGTGCTCACCTACCAAACGAAGGTTAACAACACTTGAAAACCTGCCAATGTTCCAGAACTGTTTTTAGAGCTATTGTGAATGGGGGAATACAGCATTTTGTGTGTGTGTGTGTGTTTTGAGTTGTTTGGGATTTTGTTTTTGAGATAGGTTTTCTCTGTGTATCCCTGGCTGTCTTGGAACTTGCTCTGTAGACCAAGCTGGCCTTGAACTCAGAAATTTGAATGCCTCTGACTCCCAAATGCTGGGATTGAGGGCTTGTGCCATCATGTCTAGCATGTTTTGAGTCTCTGAAATATTTAAATTTTAAATTTCTAAAGTGAATTTTTAAGACTAATGGTCTATTTCTTTTGTTGTGTTGTTTTAAAGATTGCTTTCCAGTTCGTATTATTGCTCTTCTTCATAATCACTGCCTCCCCCTCTTCAACCGCGTTCAGCACCTTAAGTATTATTGCTCCTGTGAGGAGGTGCTACAAGATACATTTGGTAGACGTTAATGTTAAATTTGTGAACTTAGCTAAGGTGCTTTCTTCCTGCTTGCTGGTTCCTCCTGCAAAGTTACTAATTTTCTATTTTTGTTTTGTTTGTTTGTTTTTCAAGACTGGTTTTCTTTGTGTAATAAGCTCTGGCTGTCTTGGGCTTGCTCTGTAGACCAGGCTGACCTTGGACTCAAAGAGGTCCGCCTGCCTCTGCCTCCTGAGTGCTGGGATTAAAGATGTGCACCACAATGCCTGGCTAATTTTCATTTTAGAGTTGGTAATCATTCTCTTTGTCTTTTCTCTTCTATAAATACAAATAAGAACAACCCAATTCTGCTGCTAATCTACGATTTGTTCTTGAGTGGACATGGAATAAGGTGGTTCTCACAAAAGAAGAATTTGACAGGCTTTGTGAGTATTAAATCTGGATCTGGGGCAAATTTTAATAGTTAAAAGCTATTCTTGATTAATGTTTTAATCACAGAACATTTGTTGGAGACAAGGTTTTAATACCTTTGCTGTTGTGAACCTCATTATTCCAGTAGCTTTTTAAAAAAGATTTATTCGTGTATTTTACGTATATGAGTGCTATCTGCATGTATACTAGAAGAGAGCATCAGATCACATTCTAGATGGTTGTGAACTACCGTGTGGCTGCTGAGAATTGAACTCAGAACTTTTTAACCACTGACCCATCTCTGCAGCCCAGTCCAGCTCCTGGGGATTAAACAACCCCAGGAGTCACATATCAGATATTTATATTACTATTTATAACACTAGCAAAATTACACTTAAGAAGTAGCAACGAAAACAGTTTTATGGGTGGGAGTCACATGAGGATCTGTATTGAAGAGTTGCAGCATTAGGAGGGTTGAGAAGCCCTGCTCTAGCCCATGCTTGTCTTGAACTTGAGTTGAGCCGGTCTCTGAGTGCTTGAATCACAGGCATTATCTACCATATCTAGCTCAGTTGTAGTTTTACTATTTTGGGATGTAAAATCTTAAGATTTACAGACCTATAAAAAAATGTTGATATTAAAGTGATTGAAGGATTTTAGCAAAAGCTTTTTTACTGGCATAAGCTATAATAGTATAACTGTCATAGTATGTGGCAAAGATGATCCAGCCTTTACCTCCCTAGTGCTGGGGTTACAGTTGTGTGCCTCCATACCTAGCTATAACTTAGCCATTGTTGTAGTTTTAAGTTTGTGCTGGTTAATGGAGACCTTGCATTGTGGGTTTTTGTTTTGTTTTAGACCTAGGATAATTCAAGTACAGATAAATTTAAGTATTATAAATGTGTTAGAAGAAAATTAGAATTTGATTTGAGGGACTTGGAAGTTAAGATAGTTATTGCTTAGACTAGTCACACATTAAGTACTGATGTGATTAAATGGCTCCCGAAAGTAAATTCATATCTATGACTTGTAGTTACGAAGATAGGCTGCAGACCTATTTTGAGTTCATAATGTTACTCTGGTTTTATATTGAAAATGCTTTTTTTTTTTTAGTTCTTAGCTTATAAGTTCTAAGTTCCTAGCTTATATTTGTAAAAGCTATCATTTTTTAGGGTAATGGGTCTTCAGAAAAGTGTACATTGACTCTAAGTTACTGTGTTGAAACTAACACTGTATTTTATCCTTGGAAGGTGCACCATTATTTGATGGTTCCTGTCGTTTCATCGACCCACAAACCATCCAGTCTATCCAGCAGTGCCATTTGCTTCTCAGCAACCTTAATACAGTCTTAAGCTGTTTTGCAATGGAGGCCCAGGGAATCACCGAGAGAGGTGTGCACTTTATACAGATGTTTTGTTCAATTTTACTTAATTCACTTACATTTCGTGTTTACTTGGTGACTGACGCATTGTGTAAAGAGGAAATTATTGCTCAAATGAAGTTTTTTAACTTCTGTGTGGATATATGTATGGTGTATGTGAATGTGAGTGAGTATGTGCCATGTTGTGTGGGTGTTACAAGAGAACTCTGGTTGGTTCTTTTCTGTCTACTTTTATGTGTGTTCTAGGGATTGAACTTAGGTCTCCTAGCTTTTTTGACAGGTGCCTTTACTCACTGGACCATCTTAGTGGCCTTAGAATTTACTACCACTAGTAGAATTTAAATTCAAAGTTAACATGTATTTTTGTACTTAAAATAGTTACTTTTTTTTGTTTGTTTTACTTTATTATGCTATTTCAACAAAGGAAAAAGTACAGTTTCATTTAAAAACCTAATTTGAGCAGCCTTATTTTCAATCTATTTTAATTGCATTTTGCATGAAATACTTAATTGTGGTTTGCTTAAAAGTGCTTTTTAGTCAGTGTGTTATCTTAACACTCTAGAGATTCGCTTAACCTTACTTTGGTTCAGTGTATACTAAATATAAACTAAATTATCTGTGGATACTCTTGATTGCTTTTGATCTGTCATTCATGGTCAGTAAACTGGAAGTCACACAGCCCGTGTTAATTCTTCTAGGACTGGTGGACTTGAGCAATAAGCACATGGTCACCCAGCTCATCTGCCAGTACGCACAGATGGTCCTGTGGTTCTCGCACTCCGGGCTTCTACCTGAAGGCCTAGGTAACGTATGTAATGTGTGAATATTTATTGAAGCATCCTGATTCCATGATGTTATCGTTCAGTTCTGAGCCTTCATAATGTTTTCAGTATTCATTCTCCCTTACTTTGTATCTTCAGTGCTTCCCAGAGGTTCTGTTTGTATATATTGTATTAACATATAAAATGAGCAAATTTGAGAAAACACGGCTTTTAAAAATGCCACTACATATAACTTAGACCCATCAAAGTATAATTTTAAAACCTAAGTTACTGATGTTTTCAGTATTCTGTAGTTTTGAGAAAAGGTCTCACTGTGTATCCCTGTCTTGCTTGAAACTCATGTAGACCAGGCTAATCTCAAAATCAGAGTTTATCCTGCCTCTTCCTCCTGGATGCAGGATTAAAGGCACCGTGCCCAACATGCCTGGCCTGTGTAATGTTTTCTTAATAATGGCTATTTTTTGTTTTGTTTTGTTTCCAGATAGGGTTTCACTTTTTAGCTCTGCCTGTCCTAACTCCCAAAGATCCTCCTGCCTCTGCCTTTGCAATAGTAGGATTAAAGGCGTGCACCCCATGCCCAGCATTAATATGGTTGTTAATACTTGGCATCAATTTTTCAATTGAGTAATAATAAAAACTGAGAATTAGAGACTTGAGATTCTTGGTATTGACTTTTATAGAGTTTGTTGTGTGTCTAGGAGGCATAGTAGATTTTACTTAGATTTTGCTTTATTTACTGCATGTGTAACTGTTGGTCTTACTCTTTTACACTTCACTTACACTCTCACTTGAACAGATTGTGAATATTATATATTCCAAATTCGGTTTTGTGTACCAGGAGTAAAATTGTTAGGAGTGCTTTCTAGGCTGTTCAGTGTACCCAGTATCCTTGGTACAATTTTCAGGAGATTGTTTTTCTTAATCTGTGTATGTATTTGTTTATTTATATGTTGGGTATGTATAAATATGTAATAATTCTTTGGCATTTTCATATATATATACAGTATATCTTGAGCATATTTACCTTCTGCTCTTTCTCAAACTCCTCCCAGATCCATCCCTCTACTGCGCCCCACCTTATACATGTTTTGTTTTGTTTTTAAAGAGTATGTTGTGTTGATTAAATTTTAGCAAGACTAGGCTAGGTGGTGGTGGTGCATGCCTTTAATTTCAGCACTTGGGAGGCAGAGGCAGGGCTGGTCTACAAAGCAAATTCTAGGACAGTGAGGGCAACATAGAGAAACCTTGCCTCAAATAACAAAAAGTAAATTTTAGGAAGTTTTAAAATTTATTATATAATTGCAGTAAATCAGTTTTTATAATCTTTAAATTTTGAGATATTTTGGCAATATTGCTAACTTCCCCTAACTTTAATAAAACCTCCAGATGATGCTCTGCAGCTATCAAGACTGCGTTACAACTACCCTGTAATTGAGAACTACTACACCAGTCGTCGGCAGAAGTGTGGGCGCTCACCCAGGTACCATGCAGCCAGACCACAGCGCTTGCTCTCATGCTGGGAAACAAGTTGAACTTCTCAGTCAAGAATTGTTATCACTGACATTACTAGCTGAAATGTGTGCTTTAACCAAATGCCTATGCTTTTTTTAATTGAAAATAATTTTTTCTATAAAGGCTCCCACTCCCCAGTTCTTCCCAGCTCTTCTCCCCCACCCAAATCCACATCTTTTCTTGCTCTCATTAGAAAGCAAACAAGCATCTTTAAAAAAAAAAAAAAAAAAAATGAAATAAAAACAGGTGAACAGGAAAAAAAAAGAGCCAAGAAATATCATTGATAAACACAAAAATCCCCTAAAAACATATCATTGGAAACTAAGATAAAGACTGTAGGGTAAGAAGAAAATGGGCAGACAAAGCATTATGAAACAAAAAATACCATAGAGTTTGTGTTAGCCATCTACTTCTGGGCATAGGGCCTTGCAGATGATAAAAAAGCATACGTAGTAATTCTGAAAAAATCTACCAGTTGATAAACACTTAGCAAAGTAGCAGGGTACAAGATTTATACACAAAAATCAGTGGCCTTCCTATAAACAAAGGACAACAGCATGAGAAAGAAACCAGGGAAGAAAAGTACCTCTTACAGTAGTCTCAAAGAACAAAATATCTTGGGGTACTCTAATCAAGCAAGTGAAAGGCTTGTATAAAGCCTTTTAAGACATTAACACCAGCATTTTTAAAGTACAGCATACTATCAGTGTTTCCTAAATAATATGATATTCATGAGTGATTTGTCAGGAGTTCGTAGAATCACACTTAAGCCTCCGGGAACTCCATTTGGAAAAGAGATTACAATCTTCTACTCACCAAAAACCTGTAAATATCTCGTGAATTGTTTATTTTAACAGTTAAAGACAAAACAAAAAAGAATAGCTTAGTTGGATTGCTTGGAAATAAAAACTATGGTAGAAGGAATGTTTAGAACCTGAATCCTGACTATAGAGTTAAACAGACTTCTTTCTCCAGTTGAAATGAAAGACCAGGTAACACTTAGGGTATGGTTCACAAGCACTTATTCTGGATTTCTTAGGTCAGATTCTCCTGGGAATCAGCTATAATAATAGTGCACTTTGAATTTTGTTATTCCCGGTGCTTTAATGTAACTGTTGCTTAGGAAATTGATTGTGAGGCAGCGAGTGGCTGAGGCTGTAGAACTTACTGTAGCTGAGCATGACATTGAACTTGGTTCTCCTACCTCTTCTGTGTGCTAAGATTCTAGGCGTGGGCCACTACTCCTGATTCTAATAGGCATATTCTAAAGTTTGATAGTCATTATTTTGTGTCACCTGTGGAAGTTTTGCTACATTTCCTGATGGCCTTATTTGTAAGCTGCAATGTAAATATGAACGTGTGCAGGGCACTTAGTATATGTCTGACGCTTAGACATTTTCAGTTAATTAAAAGGCTGCTGCTGTTGATAACATTAGCGGAGGAAATAGGTGGGGCTGACATCTGTTTATCACATTGTAAGTCCTCAGTGATACATTTTTGGATAAAGAAATGAAGATTTGGCTCTGAATTGGAACAAATATTTTTACTACCTGGGGCTGTTAATGATTAGTTCAGAATGGTGATAAATAGAATAGTCTCAGCCATTTTGCTGGTTAGATCCCATTCTGTCCTAGTGTTTAGCCTTCCCGGGCTGGCTTGGTAATAACTGAAACTTAACCTAGGGTTTTTCTGACCAATGCTGCTTTATTTCTACAGTCTCATGTGTGGTGTTTGAGCTTACAGTTAACATGAATGCCGATCATGTCTGATGTTTCCCATCTTGCAGAGGGAAGTGGAACCATGACTGCTTGATGATTGATGGACTAGTTTCTCAGCTAGGAGATCAAGTTGAGAAGTTGTGGAAACGCGATGAAGGAGGCACAGGAAAATACCCTCCTGCTAGCATCCATGTAGGTTATAGTACTGTGGAACCACTTAACCCTGAACAGAAAGGAGGCAGCATTTATTAACTGAGACAGGCTAGAGAAAATGGGACATGAAGAAAAGACTACAGAATGCACTAACACTTTATCTTTTTCTTTTGTAGGCACTACTTGACATATATTTATTAGACAATATTACTGAAACAAGCAAACATGCTATTGTATCCTTTAAACTTAATAAGTATTTATGTGTACCAAAATCATAAAATTCCAGTAGTAAGACTCTCAAACATCTAACCCAGTCTCATGTTTTTCTCTTTTTTTCCCACCTAGGTATTTATTCTTAACTCAGAATTAGTTTGTCAGGCTCAGATGGCTGATGATAAATGTAAAAGTGTATAAAAAATATTGTTTTAGCTGGTCGTGGTGGCACACTCCTCTAATCCCAGCACTCAGGTGGATCTCTGAGTTCAAGGCCAGCGTGGTCTACAGCCAAGGCTACACAGAGAAACCCTGTCTCAAAAAAAAACAACCAAAAAAAGAAAAAGTAAAAATTACTATTTTAGACTACTTATTCTTGGGGTGACCTTGCCTTTTAATCAGTTTCTTAAATGTGTTAAATGTGCTTCGAGGCTGGCAGCTGGGGTGAGAAGATTGAATGGCGGTGCAGGCTGTGGGTCTGAGCTCCAGTATTGCTGGTCGTAAGCTGCTCTTCTCAATGGAGTTAGTTTATGTGCTGAAAATGAATACACTAGAAGTTCACTCAAGGAGCTGGAGATACGGCTAAGTTGGGAAAATGCTTGTTAGGCAAGCATGAGGACCTAAGATCAGATCCCCAACATGCAGGTAATAGCCAGGGGCAGAAGTATATGCCTCCAATCACAGTGTAAAGGAAGCATACGGATGGATTCTATGGCTTTGCAGGACAGCCAGTTGAGTCCAGTGGTAAGATCCAGGTTTGATGAGCAAGAGATTTTCTAAAAGAAGTAAAACATAAACAGCATCTTGAGTTATCTCCCAGTATCTGACTTCTGGCCTCCATAGGCACATAGGTACACCTACCCATATACCCACACACTAAGCTAGTTTTTAAAGTTAGCTTGATATACCTTAGTTATTGTTTGAATCCTGTGCCTTTTATCAAATTGACGAGATGGATAGTCCCCTGCAGGAGCAGTTTAGGGTAGGTATGGACTTCAAAGGAGCAAGTTCCATAATTTGAATTCTATTTTGTACTAATGTTTTTTAGTCTAATATATTGTTTGTTCATAATATATAAGGTATTTGCTTAAGCTGCCAGTTTTTGCCAATAGAGTTGATCTGTAGCTTTTTAAAATTTTTATTGAACAAGTTATTTGAATTTACCATTTGTTTTAATGAACAAGATATTATTTTGTTTTGGGTTTGGTTTTCTTCTTTTTTGAGACAAGGTTTGTCTCTGTAGCGCTTGCTGTCCTTGACTTAATTTGTAGATAAGGCTGGCCTTGAACTCATAGAGATCCAGCTGCCTCTGCCTTTGCCTCCCAAATGCTGGGGTTAAAGGTGTGTACCTTCACACCCGGCAAGCAAGATATATTTTTGTTCAGTCTTTTGTTTTAGTGAAAATATGGAGGATAAATAAGGTTGTCATGAGACTCTTATTGCTTGTGTTTAATAAACTATATCCATAGCTGGATATCCCTAATGGCCTTGTAAGCATAAATTTCTTAAGCCCCCTATTTTAAGAGTGTGTATGTGGTTATTTTCTCTTGTTTATTGCCCTTAATCCTTTTTTAAAAGACCATTTATTTGTTACTTGATATTATGTATTCCTTTCCAAACAAAACGGATACTCCCATCGAATCTTTTCCTACTGCCTTTGCTATTTCTTGGGGCCAAGTTAAGCTAGTTCAAGGATTTTGGCTGCTAGATCATAATGACTATGAGGTAAGAAACTTACTTGGAATATAAGTTTTTGTAAGTTATTAAATTAGATGTATGACTAGATTGATTTTGACATAAGATGTTATCTTTTCCTAGAGGTAATACAAGGATACACTTTAGTGCTCTCACCCAAGCAAGAAAGAATACCAGTTCATAACTTCAGGTTACTTGTTGTTTAAAGAAGGTGGATGGTTGGGAGTGGTGCGACACTGACTGTTTTGTTTAGATAAACGTTTGGGTTCTGATGTGAACCAAAGAAGACAAAATTTGCTAATGGATATGAAATCTATATTGGAAGAATTTTATGTACAAGGCCTCAGAAATATGATATTTTTATTAAAACTTTGGTTCTTTGAACTCTATCATAGATTAGCTTTTTGTAGTTTACATTTAATTTTGGCATATTTAGTTTTGATTTCTATGATTTTTTTAATATTATTTGCCTTTTTTTAAGAGCCAACTACTTTATCTAAATACAAAGGACTGTATTTATATTTAACACTTCATCATTTTGCAGAATGGTTTAGATCTTCTATTTCACCCAGTTACTGCAAAACCTGCATCGTGGCAGCATTCAAAAATAATGGAAGCCTTTATGAGTCAGGGAGAGTACAAACAGGCTCTCCGGTATCTTCAGACAATGAAGCCAACAGTGTCCAGCAGCACTGATGTTATCCTTCACCTCACTGTTCTGCTTTTTAATAGGTAAGTATATCTTAAAAGTAGAAGCTGAGTCACATGTTAATAAATGGAATTGATGGAATAGATAGTAATAGATATAATCAGGTGAGGCAGCATATACCTATAATCCCAATACTCAGAAAATGGAAAATTATGGACTCTAGGCCAGCCCTGGATACATGAGACCCTTTCTCAAGAAAACAAAAGTACATAATTTTACAATGGTCACTTTACCTAATATCTTTATAAGACAAATGCTTGGTGCCTTTCACCTAGGATTTGATAAATAACAAGTACCTTGAATAAAAGCATGCTCGGCTGAGATAACATTAACTATCGTCTGCTGCTCATTGATGACATGCACAGTTTAGGTTAGGTATGGGCTTAACAAAAGAGCAAGTTTTATATATGAATACTTTAACCAGATTTGAGCAAATGGTTTTTTTCCCCTAGAGAGAGTTTTGTTTTTATTTGTGTGTGGTATATGTTATACATATGTGTGCATACCATGTGTGAGCATGTAGAAGCCAAAGGTCAACATTGGGTGTTTTCCTCTATTGCTCTGTTCTGGGATATTCCATAGAATGGATATTCCAGATTCAACTCCCAGCAAGCCCCATCACCACCACCATCAATTTCTGGCTTCAGAATTAAAGAGTGACTTAAATGTTGCTAAAAAAGTTGGAAAATGTATAGCCTGTTATGGTGGTGCATTCCTTTAATCCCAGCATTTGGGAAGCAGAGTCAGGCAGATATCTTGAGTTTGAGACCAGCCTGATCTACAGAGTAACCCTGTTTTGAAAAATAAAACAACTACAACAAAAAAAAGTTGGAGAATGTAACATCACTGAAAATGATTCCTTTTTTTGAAAGTTAAAAAATACTTTTGAGAAAAGTACCTTTATTTTATTAACTTATTTCATTGTGCAAGAAACCATTCCTAAGAATAATATCACTTCCCATTTCTGAGGAAGGAGAGAACCACCAAACAAAGCAAATTGCTTTTACAGTGAGTTACTCAATAAAATAAAGTTCAGGGCATGTCCTGTGGTAAGTACATAATTGCCCAGTTTTCCCATTTACCTGCATCTCTAATCCAAGTGTTTAATTGCTGTGTCCTTCATTTATAATACATATTTGGAGAATCTGAACTTAAATGTAAAAGGTTGGGCTACATAGTAATCATTCTAGCATTCGAGGCTTGGTTGCATAAACATAGTTAAAAATAGCTTGTAGCTGAAAATATTCAGTATTTCAAATCTGCAAATAGCTTCTTCTGGGACTATGCTTTATAAATGAGGTAATCTTGTGTCTTTTTTAACTATTTACATTAATGACACTACTTTATTAATTATGCTGAATCCCTAAAAATGCTACTGAGACCAACTGGGTGGCTTAAGCCAGCAAAAGTGCCTGTTGTGTAAGTCTGATAAACCTAGACCCAGATCAGGGTAGGAGGAGAGAAGTGACTGCACAGAGTTGTTTTGACCTCCACATCATGTATACTCAACATTCACATACAGCGTATACACATACGTATTCACGCAGTAATGGGGGATACGTCATTAGAAGAGCCATTTGCCTGGACAAAGGTTTTAAGAGCTTTTAACTTTACAAATAATACCATTTTCTCTTGCATGAGTCTTGGGAGACGTTCTTACTCAAATCACAAACCCACTTCATGACTCCCAAAGTGCACAGAATCCCAGACTGATGCTAGGAGACTCTTGATAAGAAACACTGCTTCATTTAAATGGTGTGACTGATCACAGACCAGTTCAGAGCTTATATTTGATGTCTTTAACTGTTGATCTAAGTTTTCCAATTAAATCTTGGTTTCGATGGTCAAACCCTTCTACTAAGCTATGCTCCTTACTTCCCCCAAAAAGGAATTGTTAGTTTATACACACAGGTCTCCAAAATTCTATTCCCTTTTTCTGTTCATGCTAAGTATCACTGTTGTACTAAACTGATTTTTCTCTGTTGTTGTCACACAAACTGTCAGTTTTTTCCAGGCCACCTTAGGATTTTGCCACTTCGTCAGCTTTTTTGTTTTTCTACTACGTAACACTTAAATATTAGAAAGCTGCTTAAAATTGAGGTGTCCAGATGTAGCCAAGCATAGTGGCACACACCTTTAATTCCAGCATTGGGTTTGCAGAAGCAGGCAGATCTCTGAGTTGGAAGCCACCTGGTCTACATAGTGCATTCCAAGACAGCTGGAGCTGCATAATGAGACCCTGTCCTGGTGTGTGTGGGGGGGTGGGGGGTATGTGCCCAGTTGTTTTGTCATTAGCAAGATTCATCGTGTTACATAGCTTTTTGAAACTTTGCTACTGATTTCAGATGCATGGTTGAGGCCTGGAACTTACTTCGACAGAACTCAAACAGAGTGAATATAGAAGAATTATTAAAGCACGCTTATGAAGTTTGTCAAGAGATAGGTTTAATGGAGGATTTACTGAAGCTGCCATTTACAGACACTGAACAGGTAATCACTGATCAATATAAACTTGAAGAAATTTAGGGCAAACTGTTCGTTTACAAATCTGTTTTGTTCTTCCTAGGAATGTTTAGTGAAATTTTTACAGTCCAGTACCAGTGTTCAGAATCACGAATTCCTTCTAGTTCACCATTTACAGCGTGCCAATTATATTTCTGCCTTGAAACTAAACCAGACTCTGAAGAATAATCTCACGGTATGATTAACGTCTCATGTGAAATGAGAATAAGGAAAACTGAAACCTCTATTTACTTTTTTACAAGAACCTACAGTTGAACAACTTTTTTTTTTTTTTTTTTTTTACATTGCCTGTAATTTGGAGAATCCACATTGATGTGGTTATTATTGGGAATGGAATAATATTAATATTATTCTGAATGTTCTTATAGAACCATTCAACTAGAGAAAATAAAAGGAAGATTGCTAAAGAGCAAGAATTGTGTGTGTATAGTACAAAGAACACTGAACTTCAGAGATTAGACTGATTCTTAGCTTGTTTTGTGCATATAGGATGCTCTTTGAGCCTTGGTTTCCTGGCCTGTAAAATGATATTTGTTTGTCTGCCTGGATGCCATATCCAGTACAGCTCCAGAGATGGACCTGACTGAAGCAATGACGGACACAGAAAAGCTGGGATCTGGTGGACTGGGCTCTCTTATGGAGAAAACACAGCACCCTGGAAACTTAGCATGTTTATTATGCCATTGAACAGGGAGGTGGGGTCATACATGCAGATAAACAAGGAGGTAGTGTTTATATAGAAATATAGAACACACACATATATATACATACATACACACAGCTGGATTAAGGAAGACCAGTTTATTTAATTTGGTAGGAACAGTCTTTAAGCTATAAATATCCAGGGGAAGAAAGCTACATTTTCTGTACACACTGTTAACATTCACACATGGGCCAGAGGAATCCTTTGCCTCTATGCCTAATGTGTCTCTGGCAGCGGTGTTTTCCATTTTCCTGTGTGTGTGAGGCTTTTGCTTCTTGACATGGCCACACACATTCACTCAGAATTTAACACCCTCAGGGTTTCCTCTATTCCCCACACATGAAAGGAGCATAGTGCGTGTTACATTTTTTTTAATTGGTTGTTAAGGCTCAAAACTTGGTAGTGGATGTTTGGAATGTACAGATGTGTACATAATTAAAGAGGTTCATGAAGTCTGAGCTGGAAAAACGTAGATAGACGGAAAATACTATAGGACATTCATAGTTACAATTTCAGTGATTAATATATAGCAGCACCTAAAATTACGAAGATTAAATGTTTTAATTATAATGTGTTCAATAGAGTGATCGGGACCCTCGTTTGCGGGAGAGATCAGTGACTCGGAATTCTATATTAGACCAGTATGGGAAAATCCTACCTAGAGTCCAGAGAAAATTAGCCGTTGAGCGAGCTAAGCCTTACCATCTGTCAACATCTTCAGTTTTTCAAGGTGAGGTTTCTTTGAAGAGTGCTTACACTCAGGCTAGACGAGATACTGAGTGGCTCCCTTCCTTGAGTCATCACTGTCATTTCCTTTTGTTGTACAATCACATCGCCCTTTTTTCTTTTATAAAAACGTTGTTGTTAGAGATGCAACTGAGTTGTAGTCTTTATTTTTCAGTTTCTAGACCCAAACCATTATCGGCATTTCCAAAGAAAGCTGTAACTGGAACAGTGTTAACAAGATCTACATTCATCAGCAATGTGTTGTCTAAAATTGGAGAGGTGTGGGCAAGTCATGAACCTAAAAATGGCGTCTCACTTTACAACAGGTATTGTTCTAGTTACCTTTAAAGATTTTATGTCTTTCTTTGTGTGTATGGTGGAGGGCATTTATATTACAGAGCACGTGTGAAGTCAGAGGACTATTTACAAGAGTTGGTTCTCTCCTTTCTCCTTCCACCAGGTGGATCCCAGGGATCAAACTTGGTGTCAAGTGCTTTTTTTTTTTTTTTTTTTTTTTTAATACCTCTTAAGTCCTGCTGCATGTGCTCTGTCCTGAACAGCAGCAGTTCCTCAGCAGGCTGCCCTCTTGATAGTGAGCCTGTTACCTACCTAGTATAAAAAATTAAAACTTATTTAAGTTAGCTACTTTGTTAAAAGGATTGCTTTGTCATTGAGTTTACTTTCTTTGTGTGCCTGCAGTGGAGATGAGAACGACTTGAGGGTTCTGGATTGAACTCTTGTCAGTTTTCAGGGCACTTTGTCTGTTTTCTGGCCCCATTTCAAATGTCCAGGTGGCTGTAGATGTTATTTGGAAACAGTGCGGGGGCAAACAAAGTGAAAAATGAGTCCTTTTGTTGTTGTTTTGTCTTCTCTGTGTCTCCCTGGCTGTCCTGGACTTGCTTTGTTAGACCAGGCTGGCCTCAAACTTAGAGAAACCCGCCTGCCTCTGCCTCCCCAAGTGCTGGGATTAAAGGCTTACACCACCACAACCAGCTAGAAGTCCTTTCTTTCCTCTTTTGTCTGATCTCATAGTACCTTTGCTGGCTACCCATGTGATACATAATTTAAAATCAAATTTTTATTTTTGTTGTAGTCCTAAAATAGAACAACCATCTCCTGTAGTACATCCTTTCCCACACCCAGAGCTTCCTGAGGCATTTGTTGGAACACCAATTTCAAAAACATCCCAGAGACTTTCTAGGTGAGACTTTATTGGATTGTTTTGAAAAAACTGTAATTGTCTTCAACAGGTGCTATTTTAAATTCTAAAGTAAAAATTTGAATACTTACTGTTATATTTTGGGAGTGTAGTCATTTTAGAAAATTATAAATCAGCTATTAATCTACTTGATATTTACCTCATGTGACCTAGTGAAAATAAGTAAATGGTATTACAACTCTGAGAAAAATAAGCTGCCAAGCTTTGTTTTGTTTTGTTGACCTCTAAAAGAATGTTGTTTCTGTAACTATTTCCTAAATCTTGACTGTGTGAAGATTTCTCTTAGGTGTACTGAAGTGTTTTGTGTTGCTTAAATGCAGTAACATTTGATCTCACCTAAATAATTTTTAAAGTCTTATTAAAAATGAAATTGTTAAGTATGTATTACTTGAAAAGTACTCATAACATTTTTTTATTCTGAGTGTTATAAATTTTAGCTGTTGTCAAAAATTATACTAATTTTATTAAAAATTAAAATTGAGATTTTTTTTAACTAACAGTAAGTTACTTGTCATAAGTTTATAACAGTTGAAAACCAAAGATATTTGGAGCTTTTGTAATTGGGTATATTTCGAAAGTTTGAAAGGATCTTTTGGACTAAAGTTGGTTATGGTTTCCATTCCCTCCTGAGATGACATGAGTGTAACTGATGTCTGTCCTTTCCAGTAGTTGGAATGATTTCCCATAAGCCACTGTCTTGGTCCCTTTTAACTTAGCAGCACTGTGGGAGAGGCAATAAGATCCTCTGCAAGCTCAAGCCTGAGAGTTTCAGGTCTCCAGTGTAATGAGAAAGCTATATTAACTCTGATGGCAGAGATCCTGTTAGTTGTGATTATATGTCTTCTCAGAAAATTATAATTCGTTCCCCAGTTCTCTTATTTTTCATATTGATTTACATTGTTGGACAGAAAACACGTAATAATTGAACTTCTTTTGAAGAAGTAGAGCTGAGTAGGTACTACTGGTCAACTCTGGTGTTGTGAGGGTTAAATGCTATTCTCTTTCATTTGTTTTATTTGTGTATATATTAGAAAGCCTATTCTTATTTGGATCACGCCAAAAAAAAAAAAATTTGAGGAAATCTCAAGGCCTAATATGATGTTTAGCGTGTCCTTTATAACTTTTGTTTTCTTTTGTTTTTCAAGATAGAGTTGCTCTGTGTAGCCCTATCTGTCCTGTAAGTAGCTCTGTAGACCAGGCTGGCCTCAAACTCAAAGATCTGCCTGCCCCTGCCTCCTGAGTGCTGGAATTAAAGGTGTGTGCCACCATCACCTGGTCCATTTCTTAATCAGATAAACATTTTTTGGTTTTTTTAAAAGTATAATTTTAATCATCTTGGTTTGGGAATGGTTTCCACAAATATTTTTTCCACTGAGTAACAATTTGGTGCCCCTTCTATGTAGTGAGAAATTGAAGACTGGGATTCCAAGGAAAACAACATCAACTAAGGGTTCTTAATTCTGGCAGCAGCAAAGCTGGTCACTTCTAAGCATTTTCAGCTGAGATTGCCCTTGCATTTTGGAGGAAGTAAATGATGCTGGGGTGTTTTGTTTTGTTTTGAGACAGGGTTTCTCTGTATAGTCCTGGATGTTCTAGAACTTGCTCTGTAGACCAGGCTGGCCTGAAAGATCTGCCTCCCTAATGCTGGGATTAAAGGTGTGTGCCACCACCACCTGGCAGTGGTGCTAGTTTTATCATTAAAAATCGTAAGTTGGAGGTGATGGCATATGCCAATAATTCTAGCATTTGGAAGGCAAAGGCAACACAATCAGGAGTTCAGGGCAGTCCTTGGCTACACATACACACAGACTCACACACAATTCACTGAAACACAGTGAGAAGAACAGCCCGTAGGAATAGTCCACCAGATACTGTGACCTGAAGATGACCTAGAAATTTAAACTCCATGTTACTTGAAGGTGGGCAGTTGGAGTTCTTTGTTTTTAAATTGTTTTCTACAATTCCTAACTCTTTTGCTTTGAAAGAACTTCAGACTTTTTATGAGGATGGCAGTTTTGTTGCATTAATGAACTTGCCTAAAATTAGGGTTACATGTTATGGCATTTAATGGTGAGCACAGAAATAGGAGTAACTGTTTTGAACTTAAGAAGTTACTGGGTTGTAATCTATTTTATTTAATTACAGATTATTGGATTTGGTTGTTCATCCTATCCCACAACCTTCTCAATGTTTGGAGTTTATTCAGCAAAGTCCAACAAGATCTCCTTTGTGTCTGCTGTCCAGTTCATTGCCATTAAGCTCACAGTTAAAAAGGCCACATCAGAGCACTTCCAGGCCTGCAGAGTTACTTTTACTTGAGACTCCTCTTGTAGTTAAGGTTAGTGTTGCCTGTCCATCTTACTGGGGATTAGCACTCTGCACATTGAATAGAGAAATTAAACTACACAGCATGATTCTTGGTATTTATGCTTTAACTCTTAGGGTTATATACATTTGTCTGTCTGTTTCTCTTTGTGTGTGTGTGTGTGTGTGTCTCTCTGTCTCTCTCTCTTTTGCTTTTTTTTTTTTTTTAAGATTTATTATTTTATGTATATGAGTGTTCTATCTGCATTTACGCTTGCCAGAAGAGGGAATCAGATGGTTGTGAGCTACCATGTGGTTGCCGAGAATTGAACTCATGACCTTTGGAAGAGCAGATGGTGCTCTTAACTGCTGAGCCATCTCTCCAGCCCCGCTGTTTCACTCTTTAAGACATCTTTTCTCTGTGTAGCCCTGGCTGTACTGGAACTCAGAGATGTGCTTGCCTCTGCCTCCCATGTTGGGATTAAAAGTGTGTGCCTTCTGCTGCCACCACCACCCACAGTTATGTTTTCAAAATACTCTTTTTGCTTTGTTCTTAAACACAGTTGATTATGTCTATCCATTTCTACTTAGTAACGTTTAGAGTATAATGCAAGTCTGTATACCATTATCACAAAATGTCCTTTTTATAAAATGCTTTTGGGTTTTGAGTGGTTAATATGTATTTAATTATTGTTGATAATCTTCATGTTGGTGTTTTTCTTCCAAATACTTTGCTCTTAGGCTTATTTTTACTTTGTTTTACTTTGAGCTACTGTTAGCAGGCAATCTTTAAAAGTCTTTCTTTTAGCCATGTGTGATAAATTACTAATTAAGAAGAGAACAAGTTTACACTAGTGATGACTAGTGTAATTGGCATACATGTTTTCATTTTCTAAGTATATTTGCTCTGGTGTCATAGGCTCTGTTGTTTGGGCTCTGCTACTTTTGTATTTATGTATGTATGTTTGTATGTATGTATGTATGTATGTATGTATGTATCTATCTATCTATCTATCTATCTATCTATCTATCTATCTATCTATCTATTTATTTTGAGAGAGCCTCACTAGTAACCCAGGATATTTGCTTATGGTGTCATAGGCTCTGTTGTTTGGGTTTGTCTTAGCCTCCTGAGTGTGGGCCATTGCTATATTCTCCCCCCCCCCAAAAAAAAAAATCACATTTTTATATTCTCTGTGGCTAGGATCAGAGGAGATCAAAACATTATTTGTAAAACACTAAAATCAGTTGTTAATTTAAAATAGTCTCCTATAATTCACGAACATGGGTTTTAGTCGTACACTATTTTCCTTTTTTTTTTTTTTCTTTTCTTTTTTTTTTTTTTTCACTTAATTTAAAGAGAAAAAAAGTCAGGGTCTTGGGCTGGAGAGATGGCTCAGAGGTAAACCGCACTGGCTGCTCTCCCAAAGGTCCTGAGTTCAATTTTCAGCAACCACATGGTGTCTCACAACCATCTATACTGAGATCTGGTGCCCTCTTCTGGCCTGCAGGTGCATATGCAAGCAGAATGCTGTATACATAGACATAATCTTGTAAACTGAATATGTTCTAGTTGATTTTTTTATTTTCCTGTCAGTCTGAAATAAAATTTTCTACTTGTGTTTTTGGAGGTAGAAATGTATATACTTTTGACATTACTGTCTGCCCTGTGTAACTTACTTAAAAACACTAATGATTGGCTTTTTTTTTCTCTTCATTGTAGAAAGCCAAGTCTTTGGCTCTGTCAGCTACTTCTTCTGGATTTGCCGAGTTTACTCCTCCATCCATCCTTAGGTCTGGTCTTCGAACAACACCTTTAGCATCTCCCTCTCTGTCGCCTGGAAGATCTCTCACTCCGCCTTTTAGACTTAAAGAAACTAAGATTTCTTTTATGGAAGAAGGCATGAACACACACTGGACTGATAGAGTAAGTTTCATTAACATAACTGAAGTGTTTGTGTTTGTATGCAATTTTGTGGATAATCTTGCATCTAGCAGAGTCCTGAAAGAAACCTTTAGAACATGCGCTAAGCCAGTATATATCTCTACATGTAAAGTGAAATAGTTTGTGAGTGAATATCTTTCGATGGTGTGGTTTTCATCTAATATCTTGTTGATTTTCTTGGCCTATTGGTTTATCTATAGAAAGGATGTCTGTGGAGTCTCACTTCAGTTAATATTAATTAAAATCTACCCACTTGATAATTTTGTATTACCTGTCCTGTACATTGTATTTTGTTTTAATTAGTACTAAGTTACTAACTAGAAAAATGTTAATAATTTAATGTCAATAATTTATAGTTATACGTCTAAAGAAAGTTTCAACAAAGAAGTGTGGAAAGGGTGGGTGGGTGTGATTAGAATGGATAGATAGCGTGGAATTTTGCATTAATTGTCTTTTCATAATCCCAGGCTGAAGATGACCATAACACAAAAGCATTTGTTAGTGCATCTTTCTATAAATGTGCACCTTCAGCAGAAGCTGAATGGACGGCGACCAGTGATAAAAATACGTACTTTCCTCTGGATGTCCCTGCAAAGAGCCATCAGAAAGTAGTTGCAGAATCACTGGATACCCACTCACGAAGTCTGGAGAAACTAGATGTGAGCAAAGAAGACAGTACGACTTCAGCCAGATCAGACCAGACCTCCTTAGAGTATCACGATGCTCCCTCACCAGAAGACTTTGAAGATGGCGTTTTTGTGTCCCCTCAGCCAGCAAGTGCTTCCACCGAACTAACTGCTAATTCAGCTCTACAAACTGAAAAGGAGAATGATAAACATCTGTTTAAGTCAGAAGGTACTCCTTCAGTTGTAGAGAAACAAATGGGTAGGAACTGTTTGTACATACTCAAAATTGTCATTGTTGTCCACAATAAAATTATTAATAGAATATTTTCTACCATAGAAAGCAGAAGTCCAAATCTTTTCTTACAGTGTGCTAGGTCCTAGACAAGGTAAATTTTATTTCAGCTTAAGAAAATGGCTGTGGGCTTAGCCATTAAAGGCTAGGCCCACAACCATAAATATAAGAAAATGGCTTGTGTTCTTTCACAAGTTGGTAAGATTTGGTGACGAGATCTTGAATCTGCTGCATTATTATTTAGCCATGACATTTGCAAAACAGCAATAGTTAAGAAAGGGTGTAACATGCTGTGGTCTGCCTTGAACATTCCCATTAACTATAAGAAGTAGTGAGAGTGCTCACTTTATAAACTGGGCGAGTACTGTAATATTGGACTTTTCTAGCAGCCTGTTTGTAGAAACCAGGAATTTAATGCTGCTCTCTGCCCTCACCTCTCAATGTAATCACATGAAGGTCATAATAAGTGTCCTCAGGACTGTGTGTTTATTGTCTTAATAGTTTCTTACCTGTTCTCTGGGGGATTTTTGTTTGATTATTTACCAAAGTTTTTTTTTTTAGTTTCTAAAGTATGTGCTGTAGTAGAAAATAAGCTTCCCACAGTGTGTGCTGGCTCCTGACTGTCAGTACTTAGTGCATAGACAGAGTACTTGCCTGTGCAGCCTGTAGCACTTAGTTGACTATTGACAGACAGTTAAAATGCAACTTACTTAATGCTTTTCTGGGACATGAGGGCCAAGTGAACATCAGACAGATTTGGCTAAGAATTGGTGGATCAAATGTCTGTGTTGCGTTATTACATTTGTTTTGAGCAAATTTATAAAAATTATTTCCTTAGGTCTGTAAAACTAAATGCATATAATAAAAATCTGTAATTTAGGGGCTGGAGAAATGGCTTAGAGGTTAAGAGCACTGACTGTTCTTCCAAAGGTCCTGAGTTTGATTCCCAGCAACCACATGGTGGCTCATAACCATGAGATCTGGTGCCCCCTTCTGACATGCATGCAGGCAGACTACTATATAGATAATAAATAAACCTTAAAAAAAATGTCATTTGTCCAGGGGTGGATGTAGCTTATGTGATAGACTTTGCCTAACAAGCCCTGAGTTCAATCCCCAGCACCAAATTAAGCAGGCAGAATAGAACTGTAATCCTAGAACTCAAGAGAATTAAGTTAAAAGTCCTCCTCAGCTGCATAATACTTGAAATTAGCCTGGGATATATGAGAGCTTACTTCCCCACCCACCCCTGAAAAAATTGTGTCATAAGTAGATTCTCTTTGGTGCTTTTGGCCTAGGTTGAATGAAGGTTTTGTAACAGGTGAATGAGTTTATTTAGATTGTGGTATCTTTAGCAAACATAGACATTAATTGTTCTAATTCCACTCATAAATGTATGTGCCTAGAATTTCATGGTGCTTTCTTTTATTGATGTGCTATATTATTAAATAAGGTATTCATAGCAGTATGTTTTAGTTATTTCTACACTATTAAGCCGTCTCAAATAGAAATCTTTTTGGAGGGCTATTGTATAACATAAACCCTAGACTAAAGTAGGTTAAATTTGAGTCTTAGCGTCTAAACATGGTTTGTTTAGATCTGAGCAAAGTGTGTAACTTTATGCTTCATTTTTTTTTTTTTCAACTACTTCTTTGGATATTGAGTATTGAAGTAACTTAGGGAAGTTAAGAGCCCCTTGAGCTAGGCCCAAAGAATTAGAAGGAAGTGCTAACAGCCTGATGCGACAAAAGAAGCAGTTCCTTTAGACTGAGAGAGGATAAGACATTTAACATGACCTTATTTGTTTGGCTTATAGGCACAGTAGAAGTTGCATTGGAAGGATTTTCAGAATTCAGTCACTTAAGCCCTCATCAAAGAATTGAAGCTTCTCTTTGTGTGTCGTCAGTCTGTGAAGGGTAAGCTTATAGAAACAAGTGAAATTGGAGATATATGTAGCTTATAGAGTATGTAGTTAAGAGTATGTACTGCTCCTCCAAAGGACCCAAATTCAATTCTAAAATTACCAAAGGATCTGGTGCCTCCAGCCTCCTCAAACACCCTCACATACCCACCCACAGACAGACAGGCATATTTAAAATAAATTGGGGATGGAGATATGGCCTATCATTTAAGAGCACTTGCTGTTCTTCCATAGTACCTGTGCTCTTACCACCATCCCTATACATGAGATGCTTCACAGCAAAGAGACTATCTCAAAAGATAAGCTGGAAATCATAGACATCGGAGGTTGGCTTGCATGTGCACACATACATGCATCTGCGCACACACATGTATGTATACGCACACAAAGGGGGACATTGGTCCAGTGTCTGTGTCCTCACCTCCTAAGACAGTTTCCTATTTGGGGGTGATAGACCCAAAAGTGTGCCAGGCATGATGGTGCATTCGTTTAATCTCACTACTCAGGAGGCAGAGGTAAGTGGATCTCTGTGAGTTCAAGGCCAGCCTGGTCTGCAAAGTGAATTCCAGGACAGCTGGAGCTACTTAGTGAGACCCTGAATCAAAGCAAACAAAAGACCTAAGCATGTGTTTCTGATTGTCATTGGGAAATACTATGCTTCTAGTGCCAGCAAAGCCACAGTAAGCAGACGAAGCTCATCACTGCTTGCTACCTGAAACATGGTCTAGTTAGGTATGATGGCTCACAACTCCAATTTCAGCACTTGGTGAGTTCCAGGTTAGTTAGTGACAGTGTCTCCAGTAGTGAAGAAACCCCAGCTTAGCTGATTGGTTCTAGTTTGTAGATTATACTCAATTGCAAGGTTATGTTAAAATAGCTATCAGCCCACTGCTTCCATTATAGAAAGTCAGCTGACCATTCATGAGTTAGTGTGATCACTGGAGCTATTCGTCACCTTTGTTTTAGTTAAACACTTTTAGTAGCACTGTTGTAGAGCATATAAAATAGTGACAGCTTTAATTCTTTAGAGTTAATAAGTTTAATAAACTAACCAACATAAAATATGAATTTGTAAGACACAAGAATAGTTCACTACTTTATGAATAAACAGTGGGTATGACATTAAAAACTACCTACAAAACTTATTGTCACCTCTGTCAAACCCAGTCACGTATTTTCTGCTGAAAATAAAAATTTAATAAGTGGAATGTTCCAGGATGTAAAAAGAAAGGAAAAATAAAGGATTTTCCTGATTTTTTTCTAATTGTTTATTTTGTAATTTTTTCATTTTAATTAAAAAAATAGAATGTTACTTATTTTAGTAGGTTTGATGGGCAGTTGTAACAACAGATAATTATTCATATGGGAATGAAAATTTAGGTGAATATCAATTTTTTGGTGGGTTGGTTTGGTTTTTCAGAGACATGGTTTCTTTGTAGGCTAGGCTGTCCTCTGATTCAGATCTACCTGCCTCTACCTCCTGAGTGCTGGGACTAAAGAGGTACACCCCCTCTGCCCAGTCAAGATAGTTATGGGGTAGGTTGTAAAGATTTAGTTGTTGATTATTAGTTAACATTGCTATAAATATTATCAGGATAATTTCACAAACATCTGCAAATGTTTGTATGCTTCAGAGACCACTTTCTTGGGAATGTGTTGTTTGTGCTATCTTTAAAATTCACCATGCTTTAGTTGGGACTTAGGAGAAGGCCAGTGATGGATTACTGCCGGAAAATTTTACAACTTAACTTTCATGTATTGCTTGTTCTGGGTCATTTATCTTATGTTTCCAGTTAGGATTAAGTGCTGATGCTGAGCCTACCAAGTCGTAGAAAGTATTGTCAGACTTAGCTGAAAAATACAGCCACTGATTATTTTTAAATGCCTGAAGTGTCATTCATAAAAATTATTTTATCTATACTTTAAGACCATACACCCCATGTGTTACAAATGAATAAAATAGAAGAAAGTAGGAGAAAGAAATGCAACAGTGTCTAATTCTCTTGTACATTTTATAAAACTTAGAATGTGCTTGATAGTGGCTTCTGAGGTTTGGTTTTGTAACAGAGTAACAAGGAGAAGAGGGTAGAACAGGTGGAGTCTTACACACTAAAATGTGCATTTCTGTTTCTCAAGGAAAAGTCCCACCTCACAACCCAAGGCATCAGTTCTGGATGAAATAGTGTCGACTGGAAGCCGAGCCTCCACACTTACAGCAGACCACAATGAATGTATGTATCATTTAGTGTTTTGAATTGGTACTTAAAGACTATTACTACATTTTTCTTTTCTCGATTCTTTTCTGGCCAGCTTTTATGGAGTAAAGGCATTCGAACGATATCAGCTATCAAGAGACCAAGAAAAGGAATTTCAGTGAATTTTGTGGACATTGATTTTTTTTTTTTTCAACATGAAAGAATAGCAAAATAAATTACCAGTTCATCACAGTTTATTCAGGAAAAATTACTAAAAGCCAGGCTATTCATTTTAGTCTCTGGTGTTACCAATTTACGTTTTCCTCTTCCTGGAGTGTGTTATTGTTTTGGAATAGGGAGATACTAAGGTAACTACAGAACGTGCAGATCTAACTGAGACTGCTTTTGTTTTGTAACCTCTGGTCTGTATTTAATAATTGTAAGACTGAGGTATTCCTGGGTATGTTTAGAGTAGTACATTTAATTAAAATTTTTTACTCAAAAAAAGGCATTTAAAATATTTAAGACTTTTTTTTCCCCATAGCAGTAATAAAGGACAGGACATTATTCTTTTCCTTAATATTGTATCCTGTCATTGAATAAGGATGTTCTGTGTGTTTTAAGTAGTTTTTGGTAAACATTTGATCACAATATTTTTGTCCGTTATTATTCTATATTTTTTTTCCCTTGGTGGGTGTCAGATTTCTCTTAGTTAGATGTAGCTTACAAGTCATAGCACATCCATACTTCTAATATTATATTGTTTTTTCCAGTAAAGGTTGATGTACTTCATTTATTGAGGGGGAGATGGGTTATGGTGTCAAACATAGGTATAAATTATCTCTCATTCTACTGATACTTACATTCTAGGAATATGAACTGCATTAAAAAGTATAGGGGTATTTAGGCTAAAACATAGACCTCTTTTTCCCCCTTGAGATTATTGTGTTTGTGTCATTTATAAATGCCGAGCCTCATAGTGACATAAAACTTAGACAAAAAGAAAAGTCAAAGGGATGTCCTTTTTAAGTGGACCCTAAAATTAAGAAGTGTCCGAGAAGACACATCTGAAGGCTGAGTGCCCTTAGAGTAGTTATCATCATGGTAAACTTTGACAATAATGGGAAGAATTGTATTCCAATTCAGAAAAGCCAATGTGGTTCAAGTGTGAAGTTTATCTTCCATGTTGCCTTTGTGGGAAGCGTGCACATATTGTTTCAACTGATACTAAACAGTTGGAACTGTCCAGAGGAAGAGAGCCACAGAAAGACCCACCTCCTGGAGACGGTACAAACTTTCTGACAGCTTATTAAGAAAATACTCTCAGCTCTAGGTAATCTGTTGCTTTCTGAATTATATGAATGAAGTTTTTTTGTTTTAGAGTGTAAGAAGTTATTCTGTTTTATTTTGTGTTGTTTTGTTTTGGGTTTTTCCAGCTGTGGCCAACACGGTTGAAGATGGTGAAAGGTCTGGGCCCACCACCTCTCAGTGCCCTGTTACCTCTGAATGGAGCCTTGACCAGAAACTAACATTAACCTTAAAAGAAGATCATGAGCTAGGAGCTGGTGCACTAACAGAGAGTGTTGGCTTCCCAGAAGACAAGCCTCAGATTTCTGCCAGGCCTCCTGAGGCTCAAGAAGTTCATGTAAAAATAATAATTTTTCAATGCTTTATAAGTTTTAGTAGTTGGGCTTTAAAGATGATTATTTAAGCTTTGACAACATAAAGATCTCAAATAAGTATATAAATGTTTTGTGGAATATAAATAACACAAACTTTTAAGAGATTGATTTTTTTGAAAACCAAAAGATATTAAGCCACAACCTAGCAGGGTTTTTTTTTTTTTTGTTTTTTTTTTTTTTGCTCATTTGCTTTACATAGAAAGTTGTTTTTTGTTTTGTTATCAGTAAACGGAGTAACTACTTGAGACATTTAAACTTCATATATGTTAAGTGATTATAGTGAAACAGGATCTCCCTCCATATCTGTGGGAGAAAGACACTGGAGAAAAGGTTTCTTTTAGTACTTGATAGGACCTTCTGTTTTCCTAAGAATCTTGTCAAATCCCTTTAATTATTAAGGGAACTTTTGAGTAAATGAATATAAGGTTAAAAGCCAATTCTTCTAATCATCCTAATTTGAGTTTATTTATTTATAACTTCCTCCACATTCATCTTTATAAGTATTCTCTCCCTGAAATAAATGGCATTAAGTTTCCTATTTCTTCGGTTTGGAGGCTAATGAAACTGGGAGAGTGTAACGGGACTCCTCATCTCTAGGTTGTGTCTGGTCTGTCAGCTCACTATTTGGGGAGTGGGAAAATGTCTTTGTCTAGGTGGGTGATAATGTCTACCTTCTTGGTCAGGAGATCTCTCTGTTACTTTCTACCTCCTCCTTTTTCTCCCCTTCCCTTACCAAAAGGTAAATGCAAGGACCATTCCTTCTTCCACCAAACCCTTGCAAGAGAGGTACTGAACTTGAAAGCCTTAGGAATTTCATGGTTTATGCAGCCCCAGCAAAGGGAAGAAGATTGAGTCTAGCCCAAGGGAGCTTATGTAGGTGAATTGTTCTTCAACCTTATGGGGATCATGCTGTTTAGAAAAGTATGCATAGTTAGGTAATTTGGGGATTATTGTTTGGGATTATTGCCTTTTATTAAGTTTTTTGTTGGATAAAAGAATAAGTTTTTAATTTTAGAATTGTTAGCATGTTTTCAAGATTTTGTTAATACTGTCTTTTTAGCTAAGCAAATATGGTATTTGTAGTTTAATTCCAAACATAATCTCAGTATCTTTTTTTTTTTTCTATGTAGTTATTTTGATTGAGGTTTCATTTCTTAAATGGATATTTCATGAAGTAAACCCATTAGCATATTCCATAAGTCAAGTGTAGTTTTTATTTTTAAAAGGATACACGAAAAATGAGGTGGTCATTAAAATCCTGTATGCTTTAGGTCAAAATGTATTTTTGTAATTTATTAACTAGTTTCGTACCTTTAATTCATTTTAGTTAATTGAACCTGAAAGACTTGAAGTTCAAAATTCAGAAGAGGAGGCGAAGAATCTTTCATTTAATGAGTTGTACTCCTCGGGAGCACATAGACTTCAGTATAATGTTGACACCATTGAGCAGCAGTTTTGTGACTTGCCTGACGATAAGGACCCTGCTGAGTGTGACATTGCTGAAGTAGATGGGGAACTCTTTGTAACTCAGAGCAACTTTACCTTGATATTGGAAGGTGAAGAAGGAGAAGTTGAGGCAAGTGATTCTGCAGCCCCTAGTGTGTTACCGAGAGCAGCTAACATAGCAGCCAAGGAAAAATCTGTGTCTGGAATGGAATCCAATAATCAAGAACATGTCACAGATTTGCCATCTGCTGTAACTGGTAACAAAGAACCCCACAAGGTAGAGACCTTACCGTATGTGCCTGAACCAATTAAAGTGGCAATTGCAGAAAATTTGTTGGGTGTAATTAAAGACACACGAAGTAAAGAAGCAACCTCAGCAGATCAGGTTGTTCATGAAAACAAAGCATTAGTAAGCCCAAAGGTTACACATTCTTCAAGGTTAACAAAATCTACACAGAAGACCGTTCGGAAAACAAGTGCAGAGACTGTAAATACCAGCCAGGGTGGTGACACGGTTTCTACTAGAACTCGCACAAGAAGGCAGCATGCCCTAAACCTGAACGTCACAACAGAACAGGAGTCCTCGGCAATTGCTACTCCTAAGAAGAAAACTAGAAAAATAAAAGAACTTCCTGGGTCTTCTGAAAGTACCTGTTCTGAAATAAAAGAAACACTTGAGAACCAGCAGGCACTTCAGAGTCCTCCCCCTCCTAGGAGAGGAAGGAAGCAAAAGGAAGAAGTTAGCCAGGCAAGCACTGATGCTGTGGAGCAGGAGCCTCGGAAGACGCCTGAAAGACTGAGGCTGCAGCCACCAGAGCCAGCCACTGAACAGAAGTCATCTGTTAGAAAAGGGGCTCCCAGAAGACTAAAGAAATCTGTAGAAAATGGGCAAAGTGCAGAAATTGTAAATGATCTAAAAGTTAGTAAAGCAGCAAGTCATGGTGGGACTGTCAAAAAGCTGAGGAATAATAATTTAGAAAATTCTCAAAATATGGAATATAAAGAAGATGAGAAACCCAGTGACCAGCAATTGCCTCTAAAACGAAAAAGGATGAGGGAGAGTGAGGTTAGTGTGTTGAGTATTACAGAGGAGCCTAAGCTTGACCCATCTCAGTTGCCTCTTCAAACAGGATTTGATGTGCCCGCCACACCTAGGAAACGTGGCAGACCGAGGAAAGTAGTTCCATTAGAAGCTGTTGGTTCCACAGCCACTGAGGAGCAGACAGCTTCCCAGAAGAAAGAAGTTCCCAGTGTCCGAAGATCTACACGGAACACCCCAGCTAAAAATGTGAGTGTTTTACAAAAGTCCATTTTAGTGCCAAATGAGGAAGCTGCTGTTATGATGACTTCTAAGAAAAAACTTACAAAGAAGTCTGCAGATGAAAGCCTGAAAGGTCCATTACCAGCAGAATCAGACTGTGCAGATGCAACAACCTACAAAGAGCCTGCTGACCGAGAAGGAAGATTGCTTGCCATGGCTGCTTTGACCAAATCTTCCCGGAGCACAAGGACTAGGTCTAGAAAGACCATGTTGTTGACAGACTTTTCAGAGCCCAAAACTGAGCCTTTGTTTTCTCCTCCTTCAGTGAAGGTCCCAAAGAAAACAAAAGGTATTAAATTTTATTCATTTTTATCTTATTTAGAATGCACAGCCTAAAATTGGGTTGTTTAAAAAACACTGTTTGAGTTCATTTTTTTATTTGAAGCCCTAAATACTTTTCCTGAAAGAAAAAAAAAAAATTGTAGTTAAAAGACAACACACCGACTCCCAAAAAAACAAACTCAGATAAAATTGATCTAAAGGTTTGTTTCCTAATTGATTTTCAGATTCAAGATTATCTAGAAATTTTTTATGGCTCTTTGTATCCCACAGTCCATTCGATACAGGGTTTATTGTCCTATTTCTTGTACTGTCTTTATATCTAAGCAACTTAATTTTATTTCCCTTCACTTACAACTTTTTTTATTGTGTGTGCGGTATTCTGCCTGCATGTATATCTGCAGGCCAGAAGAGGGCACCAGATCTCATTATAGATGGTTGTGAACCACCATGTGGTTGTTGGGAATTGGACTCAGAACCTCTGGAAGAGCAGCCAGTGCTCTTAACCTCTGAGCCATCCCTCCAGTCCCCATTTTTTGTCATCTTAACATAATTTTCTGTATAGCTGTTATGTTAAAACAATATACATCTTTTATAGAAAATTAGATAATAAATATATGTACATGGATACTCTTGCCATCATAAATATTTTTTTGCTTAAAGAATAAACAGAATAAGCCAAGCATGGTGTGTACCTGTAGTCCCAGTGCTGAGGAGGCTGAGGTGGCAAGACCCAGATTAAAAACACACATTGCAGTTTATGAACATACTTTTTTCATGATCATTCTCAGATACTCATGGAGGGGCTGTGTATACTTTTGAGCAATTTCACTAGCCTGTTTGGAAGCCAAATATCTTACAGTGAACCTGGAACTTGGCAATTAGCTAAACTGGCTGGTCAACAGACCTCAAGATCCTGCTCTTTTTGCCTCTCAGCGCTGGGAGTATAGACACTTATTTGCTAGCATTTTACGTGAATGCTGGGGATCTGAGCCCAGGTCCTCATGCTTGCACAGCATTTTATGGTATTGTAGTGTGGGGTTTGTCCACAGGTGCCTGAACATGCTCCTGTGGAACATTCTCATGTTTTGAGGGTTTCTGTGTTAGACTAAGCACATTTTATTTTAGGTAGCTGGAGGTATTGGAATTAAGATATTTTGAGAATCAGAATTTTTTTGGAAGTTGGCCACAATGGAATCATTTGAGCACAAAAAGGAGTTACTGCTACAAACCAGAGCTACCTTTTCCCTTTCTTCCCAGAGAGCTGTTTCTAGCACAGTACTGGATTTGTCTCATAATTTTAACTTTTTAGTTGTAAGTAAGTACTGGGTTGTCAAAATGTTTCCAGAAACTTGCAGAGATAGATCATAGATTTTTGTGTATGCCTTGAAAGGCATATAGAAAAAACAGTGAATCGGCCAAGCATTTTTGAACATGACATTAAATTCTTAAATTTCTTTTTGGCTTTTTAAGATAGGATTTCTCTGTGTAGCCTTGCCTGCCCTAGCACTACCTCTGTAGACCAGGCTGGCCTCAAATTCACAGAGACCCAACTGTCTCCACCTCCCAAGTACTGGGAGTAAAGGCTACCACCTAGCTAAATTTCTCTTCTTAGTCCCTAGAAGTTAATGAGGGTGCTTACATGGAGACTGTGAGGTGCTCTGAGAAAGCCAGTGTTGTTGCTGCTCCAGATAACCTAGAAAGAGTTGATGTGTTTCTAACAGTAGGAGGTGCCTTGCTATCAGTGGCCAGAAGTGTAGTTTCTACCTCTTACAAGCTGATAGTGAAGTTGCCCAATGTTGCTTATGCTCTATCTCTTGTTCAGAACCATGGCTTTTGTGGGCTGGGAAGATGGCTCAGTCGGTAAAGCACTTGACCCTCAAACTTGAAGAACTGAGTTTAGATCCCCACAGTCTGTGAAAGGCTGGCATGGTACACAAGACTACTCACCCAAAACAAACCCCAACCAAACATCCCATACTATGACTCTTGTACATTCTTGTGCGGATGCATGTGTGCATTTATGGAGGTCAGAGGCCTCGGGTGCTTGTCCCCAGGTGTCTTCCACCTTCTGTTGACACAGGTCATTCACTGGAACTTTATCACAACTCTGCCAGCCAAAGTTGGTCCATGAGCACCCTGTCCCCCACCTCTCACCATTGCAGTGGTGGGTATTTGGCCTTGTTATGTTTGAGATAGGGTCAGGCCAACTAGGTCCCAAATTTGTCATTTTCTTGCCCCTGCCTCCTGCTGGAACCATAGGTTTGGCCCTTTATGCCAGCAAAAGTCATAAAGCAGGATATGACATCTGGCATGGTCAGCCAGTCTGTGTGTGTCTGTCTCTGTGTGTTTAAAGATTTGTGTATTTATTACATATATAATTTGTTATGTATACATGTCTGCCTGCAGGCCAGAAGGAGGCACCAGGTCTCGTTACAGATGGTTATGATACATCAGCTCAAGTCCCCGCACCATGTGGATGCTGGGAATTGAACTCAGAACCTCTGGAAGAGCAGACAATGCTCTTTACCTCTGAGCCATCTCTCCAGCCCCACAAACAACTTTTTATAAAGCACTTACTGTATGCATCAGATTGTGGTGGTCCTCCATTGTCATGTGTGTCCTGCTTTTTTATTAGCTGAGGCACAGCTAGGAAGTCCCTGGCCCACAGCATTGTGTGCTCACGCAGTCACAACACTGTTAGGACACTGTTTAAAAGGTTCAGAGTAGGAGTCTACTACATGGTACATATTTTTAATTGTATGTTTTGAGTCCGTTTCTTCTAAAATGTCCTTATGAGCATGTGGTTAGTTATATATGGGTTTCACTTCACATTTTCATATATGTACATAATGTATTTTGATCGTATTTAGCCCACGTCCGTAACCCTTTCATCCCCTTCCTCCTCTTAGCTAGTTCCCGTTTTTTTTCTTTTTATTTTGGATGATTCAGTTAGGGAGTAGTTAAACTAATCTGCCGCTGTGTTATAGCCTCCTGCTATTTTCCAGCTTAACTTTTTGCTTTTACGGCAGGAACTAGCCTGCATAGCTCATAAGGTAGCTAGGAAGAGGTTTTAAAGTTGGAGTCCCTCTTTGCAAATGAAATTGCTCTTGCAAGTAACAGTCACTGTGTAATGGAGACCTTATCTAGAAATGGAGACTCACACTGTCATGGGATTCGTGCTTTTCTGAGAAGAACTGAGGATCAAACTAATGAGTAATAGTTTTGTATTGTCTGGAGTCCCATTGTTAGGTTGTGGTATCATTTAGTTTGAAGCCTAAAATATTCATGAACATTTGGTTTACTTAGATAATAATGGGATTTTTTTTTTCCTTTTTTTTTTTTTTTTTTTTTTTCTGTTTCTGTCTCCTGACACAGGCAATAAATTTATATGCTGTTTTCTTTGTTGGAGATGTTTTTATCTTTTTAATGTGCATCCTTTGTTCCAAGATTTTTGCTGGTGTATATATGATTTGTGTTTATGTTGTTGTTGTTGTTGTTTAAACCATACATAGTTACAGGTGAATGTCTTGTTTCCCACTGTCCTTAGCTGAGAAAATGGAGGCCACTGCCCAGCTGAAAGACTTGGTATCAGATTTATCATCTCAGTTTGTTGTTTCCCCTCCTGCATTGAGAACCAGGCAGAAAAGTGCGTCCAGCACTTCCAAGATTCTACATGAGCTGGTAAAGAATGCATGAATGTATAAATCCTCTGTGTTTGTTGATATTCTTTGAAATAGACTACTCACCCGGAATGCCTGGAAGTCATGATCTTACCTCACAGGCTCCTGAGTGCTGAGCTTACAAGGATTTTTAAGTGAATTTCTCCTAAATAAATTTGTTGAAAATAAGCTTATTTAAAGATAACATGTGGGCCAGAGAAATAGCTCAGCAATTAACTGCAGTGGCTTTTCTTAAAGAGGACTCAGGTTTAATTCTCAGCTTACAACCTGTAGCTCTAGTTCTAGGGTATCCAAAGCTCTCTGGCCTCATGGGCTATCAGACATGCGTGTGGTACACATGCAGGCAAAGTACTCGTACACATAAAATTAATATACATTTTTAAGAATGGTAATTTGCATCTATATTAAAAACCCAAAAATTCAAATCTGTGGAATGTTTCTGATGGTGTGTTGCTTATAATAGCAGCAATTTTCCACTTACCTGTTAGGATCAAGGTTTTAAAATTAAAGTGGTTGCCAGGCCTGATGACATTTACCCTTAACTCCAGGGCTCAAGGTAGACATAGGAGGATCTCTTGCTCAGCACCAGCCTGCTCTATGTACTGAGTCCTAGGCCAGCCAGGGATGCATAGTGAGACCCTTCTCAAAAAATAATAATAACTAAAGTGGCCATTAAAATTATCTAGGTGTTAGCTGGGTGGCACGCACCTTTAGTCCTAGCTCACAAGAGGCAGAGGCAGGCAGATCTCGTGAGTTTGAGGACAGCCAGGGCTATATAGAAGACAAATAAATTAGAAACCCTGTCTTGAAAATCAAAAACAATAAAAGTTTTAATTGCTTAAACAATGTTTTTAATATTAGTTACAGTTTATTAACTTTGTATCCCAGCTGTAGCTCGCTCCTTCATTCCCTCCTTCCCTTGCTTAAACAATTTATATTTAAAATTTTTTAACCCATAGGAGAGTGACCCTAAACCATTAGAAATCATGGAACAAAAACCAAAAAGAAGTAGACCTGTGAAGACAAAAGCAAGCAGGTAAGCAGCATTCCTTCTCTGTGGCCTCTCCCTCCTTCCATTCTTTAGAGCTAAGGTACTAGAAAATACAGGCCTGCCATTGGCTTCTTGACATCGGCAGAGTCCAGGGCTTGAAGACAGCAAACGCCACAGAGTGGAGACATTTGTTTGCTGTCCAGTGGGTGTGGTTGGGAGAGAAGATAGTTTGCCTTTTCATTAATAAAGAACTGTATGTATTGCTGAACTCTGTTACTGCATCTGTGGTAAAATGAGTCCATTTGAGATACTTTTGATTTACAATATTCTGTTCATGCTGTACTTAGGCGTGGTTAAAGTTAATAAACAGGTGACGCAGTTGACTTCATGACACTGCTCACGTGTAAATTGTCTTTGTATGTGTTTATGATACACAGACTCATCAATAGCTGTTTTGTAAGTTCCATGGGCTTACTGGCTCTTGTCCCATAAACTGGCATAGGTACTTGGGCTGTCGTTATAATAGCAATTATGTGTAACTGCGGCTAAGTATCTATATCAGCATCCGTGGGGATGGGTTGGGGGGTTGAAGCCTTAACCCCTACCCACACCTGTGCTCTTCTGCAGAGTGAAGCACTGGACGTGATGGTGCTCTGTGCCGATTCTGACTTGAGTGTGTCTTTCTTTCAGAAAAACAGGAAAAGGAAGTTCTTGGTCACCTCCCCCTGTAGAAATTAAGCTGATTTCGCCCTTGGCAAGCCCAGTTGATGAAATAAAGATCAGCAAGCCAAGAAAGACTACAGAAGCAGCAGGAAAAACTCTTGGAAGGGGCAAAAAGAAGCTGTCTTCCTTTCCAAAGCAAATTTTACGCAGGAAAATGCTATAATTTTTAACCCAAGATTTTAACATGCACCTATTTGTAAAGTCATCAGTATTTGTGTGGATTATTAAAAGTCATCCAATTTGGAAGGAAATAATTTATATAAATTGTACAATTTTGTAAACAAGTAAATAAGTAAATAACTCCATATGGAGTGCGGTTCTTCTAGTCCAGGCGTTTTATAATACTTCATACGTTTATATAATGTGTAAATATGGCTTAGCATTGGGATGTTAAATAAACTACTGTAAAGTACACACGGTGTGTCTGTTAGATTTTTGAGAGGGGGATTTCTGTTTTAGTTGTGTTTTATATGCTACTAGACATTTGTCCGTTTTCTTTCTCTAGAGTTAAGATACTAGATACCAGTCTTAAAATGAGGGTGATTGACTATTGATTATTTTTTAATGTTGCTGTTTTATAATTCATGCACTTTGATCCTGTTACTCAGATTTCTAATCATTACATTGTACTCCTTGGGCTTTGCTTGATACTGTGTTAAATTTGAACTGTGGGCATGTGATTTTGCCTTTTTGTAGTTTTACAAATTTGTGTAATCTACCTCAAATGAGTAATTTTCCAGTAATGCATTGGTTACCTATGCTGGCATTTCTTGTTCAGTAACTTAAGGACTATCTTGTCTCTCAATTCAGAGACTAATTATCCAGGTTAGATTGACCGGTTTCACTGCTTCTTAGCAACTTCATGGAAGGGTTTGAGAAAGAAATGTAGAGCAGTACACCCGGTGTGTGTCCATGTCGAGAAGAGGAGGCTGGATAAGCTGTGGACTGTCTGTGCCGGGAAAGAGCTTGTTGCTGGATCTCAGAAGCCTCTTAGCATTCGGGTTTTTTAACTGGCAGTTACTGCAGGGCCTCAGGCACAGGTTATCCAGAATGGAAGAATGTGAGTGGATGTGGAAAAGGAGAAACAACATCCTTTTCTGCAGTATGAGTGTGCACTTGATGGAAGCTATGAAATTCATCAATAAATAAGTTATCAAATAATTGATGACATGTAATTGATAGTGTGTAATGAACAGGCCCTTAATAATTGATAGCTAGAAACAGACCTCCTTGTCAGCTAAGCATTGGGTGTTTTCGTGTGAAGTGTAGCGGTGTGCTTTGTATGTTGTTTTTCTACCAAATAGCACCATGGATAATGAGGAAACGGGGGACATGCGCGTGCCAAGCACGGACAGTGTGAGAGTGGCGGTGCGGGTGCGGCCTTTCAGCCAGGTCAGTCCATGTTCATTGCCTTGTTGACGGTTACTGCCTGAGTTTATTAATTTTTAATAATAGTTACTGAATTTGTATTGAAGCTGCTTGTCATTTATGAAATATCAAATTTATTTAAATGAATTTGTCAAATGAATAACAGATCTAAGCATAATTTAGGAAATAATTTCATTCCTTGGTACAAGTAGCACAATAAAAAACTGACAAGAGAAATACTGTCAAGTTAATAATTATTTAAACCAGTGCAGTTTGGTTCATAAAAGTGTGTGGTACCTGTTAATGCCTGTGGGGTGGGACAGAGTTGTAACTCCGTTGATGGAGTGCTTGAGCCGTGCATGAGTGCCTAGGGCGGCTCTAGAGTGCTTGGTAAGCCAGGGCACGGTGACGTGTGGCATCCCAGCAACCAAGCTCTGTTTATCTTAAAGATCTTGCCGTGTGGGGACACGTGTCAGAGATCCCAACGTAGAACGCTGAGGTAGGAGAGTCAGGTTCAAGACCATACGAAGTCACACAGGCCATGCCAGGCTGCACTTACATGTTAGTTTTAGGGAAACGCTGCTACTCTGAGATCTCCTGTGCACAAAGCCGACTCTTCCCATGGGCTCTCCCACCCTACTTGAACATATGTGTACACACCACACGGGTCAAAAGAATGCAAAGAACCGGACCCAACCCCCTCCCCGAACTGTGAGGAACCAGAGAGGGCTTCGCTGTGCCCAGTGTGGCCACTGGAACCTGCCAACCACCCTTTCCACTGTGGTAGGCTTGTCTTTGCCCACTGTGACCAGTTAAGTTGTGTTACTGTATGACTGCCAGAAAATGCTAATTCTAAAGAGAATGTCCGTGGGTGGAGAGATGGCTCTGGCTGCTCTTAGAGGGGAACCAGGTTCAGTTCCCAGCACAATTGTCTATAGCCCCCATCTGATATCCTCTTCTAACCTCCACAGGCGCCAGGCATATACATACTACATACAAGCCAATTATACATCTCCCACAAATAAAAGTCTTAAGCATTTTTTCAGTAAGGTAAGTATCCAGTTTTCAATTTTTTTCCAGATCTAGGACCAAAGCCTAGAGGCATTTTCTCTTCTGTTCTTGCCCAACAGCCTCTCATGCATCTGCAAATGGCAGCCAACTTCGCTGACATCCCTAGTAGGAGGTACCTGGTCACAGTGTACCTTCTTGAGTGCTTCCTCTAGAGACCATCCCAGGCTCATGTGGCTCATACTGTGGCCGTAGGCATCAGACTAGAGGAAGGAATTCTGCAAACCCTGTACATCTTTGCCATACCAGAGTTGAGAAGTTGGTACTTTATACACCATGCACACACACCATGTCAAGAATCGAAAGGGGTCAACTGTAGGAATGTCTCATATCTAGGATCCTGAATCTTGTTGATGCTACCAGCTCAAACCCTCATGGGCAGAAGGATGTGTCCTCTAGAAAATTATACAGGTTCACGTAGAATCACTCTGGTAGAGCAGGTTCCCAACCACTCTGCTTTGTGAGAGTCAGCTGCGTAGCTATTCCTGGGCAAGATCTCAAATGTTCAGTTCTGTGGATCCAATTATAGGGATGTTCAGAAAATGATTACCACCTACGGTCAGTGTGGCATGCAAAGACACATGTGGCACCTGTACACAGTCAGAACGGGAGGGAATGAGCAGGTCAGAATCCCAACCTGTATTTCACAGCCTTTCCAATCTCATCTGATTGGCCTGGCAGCTTATGTTGCCTGTATTTACTGTGTCCCTCCCAGTGATGTAAGTAGATGCTTTGAAAATGAAATGTCCTTCACAGCCTTGTATGTTAGTGTTCACTTCTGGGACTTCTGGACTCACTATCATGAAACCTGGCTTACAGTAACATCAGTACTTCCTATATGCTAAGCTGTGAACAGACTCCTGCCACAAGTGCCCAGCCATTCCTACTATCACACAGTGGCCTGAAACAAGCCAAACAAATCCTCCCCTACAGTGTGTGTTGGGGGAGGGGGTCCCAGTGCTCCCTCATCAGTACTGCCTTTCCAAGGTCTGCAAGGTCTTTCCTAATAGAATGTCTAACACCCTTGCCCAGTTCTCAGGGAGCAGGGACAGTAGTATATAATAGAATGGAGGGGCTCTCCTAATTCCAGGCACAGCAACACGTGTCTGACTTTGATGGTCTTACCCCCATTTCTACCAGGTACTTGGCATGGCCCTAGAAAGCATCCTCAGTTGCCGTGGGCCCATGCACCTTCAGCGCCAGGATCCACAACAGCCGTGGGCTCCTTGTCTTCACAGGCCCAGTGAGTGCCTTGGGAGGACTGTGTCGCCCATCCTCTAAAGCTCATTCTCAGACAAAATCTTGGCTCCACCTCTTAAAACATTCCTATTTGGGATTCCATTGGGGACCCATTTCTACGCCCCACAAAGACCCCACCACCACCACCCTCTGTGGGCCAGCAGAGGGGAAAGTGAGAACTGTGGTATGAGCCTACTTTCCTTCTGCTAGGCTACCAACATGATGTTGGGTTATCTTTTTTCCTGAAGTTCAGGAATGGAGCAAATCACACTATACCATTCCAGCTTTCTAGCCCAGGAGCCACTCATCCACCCTCTCCTTTTTCCTCTCATTTTTGTCTATCCCTCTTGTCAGGTTTTATGACAACGCATGTGCAGTTTCTTCCAGGCCAGGAATAGCCTTGTCTACGTCGTAAACTGGGCTTAGTTACTTTGATCTTACCATGACAAAGACGACTTTATAAAAGGAAGCGCCTAATTTGGGGACTCACAATTCCAGGAGTTTAGACTCCATGACCATCATGGCAGAGATGGCAGCAGGCAGGCACACAGACATGACACTGGAGCAGTACCTGAGCACACATGATGGACAACCACCACAGGCAGAGAGAGAAGGCCACCGGGGTGATGGGCTGTGGAAACCTCAAAGCCCACCCCAAGTGAGACACCACCTAATCCCAAGCAGTTTAACCAACTGGGGACCAAGAGTCAAACGTGAGCCTACGGGGCCATCCCCGTTCAAAACCATCACATGAACAGGAGAATGGGCTGAGGGCTCTCCATTCTCAAGAGGTAGTTGGGAAGTTTGGTTTTCATTCTGTCTACTAAAAAAATGGCTGACTTAGGGGCTAGAGAGATAGCTCAGTGGTTAAGAGCACTGGCTGCTCTTCCAGAGGTCTTGAGTTCAATTCCTAGCCCCTACATGGCAGCTCACAACCACCTATAATGCCCCCTTCTGGTGTGCAGATGTACATGCGGACAGAGCACCCATATAAATAAAATAGCTAAGTGAATCCTTAAAGAAAAAGAAGAATGGAATTTGGGGGGGCTAGTGAGATGGCTCAGTGAGTAAAAATGTTTGTGCACATCCTGGTGAAATGTTTGATCCCTGGAACCTGTAATAAAAGGAGAGAAATGATTCCCAAAAGTTGTCCTTTGATCTCTACATGCACCATAGCAAGTATGTGCCCACATATGTACACACACACAATATATATATATATATATATATATATATATATATATATATATATATATATATATATAGTATGTATATATATTGAAACACTTGGACATGTGGCTTCTCCCATTCATGCACAGTTCCCATAGAATGCCTCAGACTTCCTCCACGCTTGCCCTGAGCTACCTACCCTGGCACACCCCTCTCATCTGGCCATGCCTCTCTCCTGGCCACAGAGATCAACTCTACAGTGGGCTGAGTTCCTTGGATCTGGCAGGCAGTCTGGATGCTCTTCCTCAGGCCAGATGAGGAATAATGTCACTCCTCTCTCACCTCCATTTTCTGTTTCCGAGGAAATGCCACTCCCGTGTCCCACGGCACCCTCAGCCATGCACGCAGGGGTCCCGGGAACGCCTGTTTGAAGGAGTTTGCTGTGTGTCTAGGACCCTGCTGCACTGGGGACCTAGCAGCCCTGCTCTCTGTCTCCGCTGGCACGTTCTTCACCTTTGTTAATAGTCACAGAAAAAGCCTGAGTCAGGGCTCAGCGGGGGTCTCAGGCTCAGTCCTCATTTCCTTCAACTCCAAGCTCTTCTCCCCACTCCCTTCCCGCTGTGGTGCCGTGTGCTGTGCACAAACCTGGACACTGGGATTCTTTCCTTGGTGACCAGCCTTGTTTTGTTTTGTTTTTAACAAAATCTCAATCATTCCATTTTACCAATAAAGACTCGGGAGCCAGAGGCTGGGGCGAAAGGCTGCTAGCTCAGAGAGGCAGAGAAAGCGCCCAGCTGACCTTGCTTCTCAGCCAATGCCCCAAAAGAAGGAATGCTTCGTCTCCACACTGTCTCAAAAAAAAAAAAAAAAAAAAAAAAAAAAAAAAAAAAACCTAAACTGAGTGTCCTCCCTTCTGCTTCCCTTTCGTCTCTATCCAGCCTCCTGACTTCCTCTTACTCTATATGTTGGTTCTTTCTTAATAATCTTGTGTTTACTTCCTGTTAGCTGGTTGCTTGCTCCGCCTCAACCTATGGTTGACTTTATTTAATCCTGTTTACAATATTGAAGCAGAAAGCTGTTAGATTAAAGATGTGTGCTAGGGCTGAGCCACACCACAATTAGAAACTTTTTTCCCCCAGTAAACAATACCTTCTCTGTGATCAAATATCCTGAAACAGCCTTCCGTTCCCCTAGCATTATACAGCTGTTAACTTTCTGGGGTTTTTTGTTTTGTTTTTGGAGGGTTTACCTGTGTAGCCCTGGCTGTCCTGGATAGGCTTTGTAGACCAGGCTGGCCTCGAGCTCCACCAGCCTCTGCCTCCCTGAGTGCTGTGATCACAGGCGTGCGCCACCGCGCCCGACTGCTCTGCTGGTTCTTTAGCTCCCGTAGCCATCTGGACGTTGATGACCATCCGGTCCACACCAACAACCCTATTACAGCGGCAAGGCACTGCCCACCCTTTTGGCGGTGGCATTTGGCAAACAGCTACTCAGAAACCAGCAGTGCCTGCAGTACATACGCGTACTCATTTGGAAGGTCTCAGCACCTACCATGCTACCGCACGGAATTACATATCCAACTTGGGTGGCCATTTACACAAGCCTTTATTCTCCTTTCCGGTTCCTCACTTTTCTAGCTGACTCACCAAATGCTCCAGAAAAATAAAATAAAATCCAGTCCCAATATATGAGAACCAGCCTCGAGGTGCCATGAGACAAAGAGAAGCAGTAGAGATCTGGGGTTGCAGAGAGAGCCCTGCCAGCAGAAGCTGGGCCTGAGCAGAGCCTGCCACTCTGGTCAGAGAAGACAGCTTAGGAATTGGTCTTTCTCACTGTCCCGTTACTATGATGACATACCATGACGAAGGTTAACTCAAAAGAAAGTATTTACTCGGAGGCTTCCTTGCAGCTTCAGAGGGTTGAATCTATGACCACCATGATAGGAAGCACGGCATCAGGCAAGCAGGCATGGCGCTGGGGCAGGAGCTCAGCGCTTACATATTAGCGGCAAGTTAGAGGCAGAGAAACAGAAACTGAGCCTGCAGTGGGTGTGGCCTTGTTGGAGGAGGTGTGCCACTGGGGGTGGGCTTTGAGGTATCAAACGGCTATGCCATACCCGGTGTGTGTGTGTGTGTGTGTGTGTGTGTGTGTGTGTGTGTGTGTGTGTGTGT